GTGGCAGACTGGCTTTGACCACTTTGAAGTACAGGCTCAACTACAAAACAAAAATTCATACAAAGTGACCTGCATGTCTTCTACTGTGGGATTAGATAACATGGGAGGCACAGTGCACAGGACCCAAAGTTTCATGTGATGATCAGACCTAATACCAGGCTAAAACCACAGAGGATACACAAAGCCCAGCACTGCGTGAGCATCCAACTTGTCTGTGTCCTTGCCTTTGGCACAATACCATGAGAAAACTCCCAAATCCATCAAAGAGAACATTATTTCCTGATGACCTCAAAAATCTGCCTCCAGTGAGCAAATCCAATTCCTTCAGGGGCTAAGAAAGCCTCAGGCTCCTCACATGCAAGCTCAGCATCAAGTGAGGCCAGCTGAGGAAATCCTACCCCTCTGCAGGGCTTTTCCAAAGTAACTGGCCATTCTAAGAAGTGGGGATTTTGTGCTACATAGAAACTCTGGCTATCAGAAAGGGCCTGATGCTAACTAGCCACAGAAGCCAAGGGAAATTTCTGTGCTCACACTGGCAACAGGGGAATAATGCTCAGTGTTCGCCTCAGTGAGGAACTCATACTGGAAAGCTCAGCAGTGTGAATTCGTAATAAATGAAGATGGGAACCTCTCTCAAAGACCTATCTCAGCTGAGCCTTCTAAAAACAGTATACAGTCACCCTTCTGTGTCAATAACCCTGCTCGGTATTCCCAGGAAAAAAGGCTCAAATGCCTTTTGGTTTATCTTCCTTTTTGTTTTGACAGGGTCTTGCTATGTAGCCATGGCTAGCCTGGAATTTATGATCCTCCTGCCTCAGCCTCCCAAGTACTGGGATTACAGATATGGAGCACCAAACCCAGCTCAAATGCCTTTTAAAATAAGATGTATCAGGACCCATGATCTGGAATTAGTCACAAACATAAATCAATTGGATTAACAGTGCTCATTAACACAAAGAAGGAAATGCGGCCTGGCGATCATAATGTTATTTCTTTCTGCTCTTACTCACCATTCAGTTCTCCAGCAACATCTTCTATCCTATCTCCTAAGTACATAAATTCCTATGTAAAGAAACTAAAGTTTGTATCCAAGCAATTGGTTGGGAAACACTTTTTTGGCTCTATGACTAATGGTTAGGTGACAGGTCCTACTTCACAGAGCCCCTGCAGTGTAAGAATAAACACTGACTGAGGACTCTGTAGGCAAAGCCATGCCACCACTGCCTGCCAAAAGATAGAGCTCCTCCACGCCCTCCTTTTCCTTGTAAGAGCCCTTCATGCCTTTGGCTTTTCTGTGTCGTGTACTATGCAGCTGATCCCACTTTCAGCGGAGGTCAAGGGAGATGGTGAGGAAGCAGATGTCACTTCTGCTGCTACTGCCGTGATGAGGCGACGCTCTGCTCATCCGCTGGAGACATTCTTTCAGGTTACTGAAGCAGACTACTTACAACTGAATATACCCCAATGCAGTTCAATTAACAACACACATGGAAAAACAATGCACAAATGGCCGCAGAAGGCGGTTCTTGAAACAGGAAGATGATGCAAGCCCTCTGGCTGTACTGTACCTCGAGCATAGATCTGGTGCTCTAGGTTAGTCAGACTGGCTGTGCTCCTAGTTCTAAGGTAGACAAGAGGGAGGCCTGGTAGACAGGAGAGACAAAGTTAGAGGGTAAGAGCAGGATAGTGAGGAAGAATCACCTCCACAAACACGAGTTAAGAACATTATAAGTGGCATGCATCGTGCAATTGTGAGAGCACCCTTCCTAACTGCTAGGAGCCAAGAAGTGCTTGGCAAAGCCAGCAGTTTTCTGCAAGGCTTTGATGGTGCGGCTGTGTAAAGGCAGTGTGCAGCCCTTTTTCTAATTAGGCAACAATGAACGCATTGAACATCCCTTCGAAGAGAACAACAAGCCTTCGGGGGAGGGGGTAATTTAAACCATACTATGTATTGGCCCAGGAAAGTCTGATCAGCGTGGATTTTAAGGAGTGGCAGGGTGTTGGTCACTGGGCACCTCAAACACTCAAGGCAAGAGTCAGTCCAGCCTCCAGATTTCAACAGTCCTTTCTCGGGGTTTCTCTCACAGTACTCAATTCCAACTGAACATAATCATCATGAAAACACATGTACTTCTCATAACCTGATCAATGGAGTCATGATGCTGGGGTTTGCCTATCAAATAAGCCCTTACTGAGAGCCTTACAACCATGGCAACCAAAAAAAAGAAAAAAAAAACTAATTTGAGGCAGAATTATGGTTAAGATTCTCAAATAAGACCTGAAAATTAGTAGTCAGTTCAATGCAGTTGAAAGCTACTAACTTGAAAACCAATGTTACACATGCTGCGGGACGCCTCTTTAGAAGGCTGCCAGGAATTCCCAATAAAAAGGCATTTAATACTTAGGCATATGAGTGTGAGTTTCGGATGGTTAAAATAGTGTATCACAACAGCCTCACTAACCATAAAAATCTAGATAAATAAAAATCAAGTTTTAACATCGATAGGGTGGCTTATTAGCATAGAAAGAGGAGACAGTGTAAGAGAGGGTGGAGCCTTCCAGCACATCAGGCCTTCCTGGAGTTGGCACTATTGGATCTGAGGTCGCCTAGTACGCTCTCTCTTCAGAACCATGCTCCCTTGGACATACAAGGATGACTTAGCCTTCTGGACAGGCAGGGTCATTAGGAGGGTTAGGAGAGCTGGAGCTTGGGCTCAGAAGCCCCAACTGAGAACAGAGAACAAGCATGGCCGGCCGAAGCTTTTGTCTCTCCTTTTAGAAAGAAGCACGAGGCGGCCTGCTCACACTCCCCAGGAGAGGCAAACCAGCACAAATGCTTCTATGCTAAGAAAGGCCATCTTCCAGGACTGTTTGCAGACCAGATGGAATATTTACGTATTCATGAGCTATGTGAAGTCCCGCCAAGACTCTCCAAAGAAACCACACTGAAAGAGTTGGGGCTGAGCTGAATTTGGATGACAATGGCTTGTGGGGCAACCAGGACCCGTGGTGTCTGTCACCATCTCCCCAGCTTAGAAGCAAACAGAGCTCCATGCTGAGGCATTCATCTGGACCAAAAACATCATCAACAAAGAACACACTGACTCCTTCCTCAAGAGGCCTGTATTCAATCCCTTTACGCTCAATGAACAATACAGGCCCCTCTTTAAAAAACGTTTTCCCACTTGGGATCTTGCCCTCCCTCTTTCCAAGAATACATGCTAACCCTCTAGCACTAGCTTTAAATGTTTTTATAACCCAGTTTTTAAAAATCCTGTCTACTGAAAAGCCAGTTGTTTCTGCCCAACTGAAAACACCAACAGTGTGTCCTGACATGCTCTCGGGTGCACCGGCCCTTCTTCAGTCACTGGAAATCAAGAGTAACAGTTTGCAGATCCCCTCTCCCCCACGTCGGTGGAATTAGAGCCTGCATTAACAGTTCAGTAGTCTGTGCCAGAAAACTGTCTTTTATAAAGACTAAAAGGAACAACACAGGCCAGTTCAGACTTCCTATGGAGTTCTCCACAGACCATTCTATTTGAATCTCTTGGTGAGGGGTGGCTCTGTAGATTAACGCTGATACAGACAGACATGCGCACATAAAAACCTTACTTTGTCCAAAGCATGGAGGATCCACTGAGGAGCCCATCCAGTCTTCTGACTTGGCTGACTCTGTTTCCTTCTCTTCTTTGCAGTAATCTGCCAACCACGATTCCTTGGTGCTTACATACTGGTCTAGAGGGAATGCCGTGAAGACATTAAGAGGGAGATAGGAAAGGGAAAAGATGTATATCAAATCATTTCAATTCAGCGAAACAAGCTTTTATTAAGTGCTTCCCTATCTGCTGGGCCTATGCTAGAAGCGAAAAAAGCTGGGCCCAGGGGACAGCAATTCCATGTAGAAGAGATCAAAGCAGTCAGTCAGAACTACCTCCATGAAGCCACCCGTGATGTGAAAGGGGCTAAAGCAAAGACAAGGCAGAGAAGGGTGGACGTACTCGGCTTTGACAGAAGTGGGCCGGGGGGGGGGGAGGGGGGGGGCTCCAGGAAATCTTTAGAGAGGCAGACCTGTGTTTTGGTTCTTGAAAAAGTGAATACTCAATGAGACTGAGGACGGAGTCACATTGTAGGCAGAGGGACTGGGAAGCCTCTGAGACATTAAAGAAAGAGCAGGGGGCTCGACCCACAACTGTACACTCAGGGCCATTTTCAGAGCTAAGTGAGTGTGACAGTTGATAGGGGACAGCTCAGAGAATCAACTCATTCTGCTCAAGTCATACCTTACAGAATGGCTCTGTACCTGGGCATGGCAGTGGGTGCCTACAATTCCAGCCACTTTGGAGGCTAAGGCAGGTGTGAATTTGAGACTAGCCTGGACTACATCAAAAACCTTGTTTCAAAAACCAAAAAAAAAGAAAGGAAAAAAAACCTTCCTCTGTGAATAATAGACTCTAAGCTCACTTTTAGGATATTCTGTGAACCCCACTGACAAGCATTATGAGGAGAAAGTTCACAGGGGCCCTTTGTGGTCCCTAAGCAGCCTCAGCTCTTGCTTGGCCACTGAGAGCATTAACATGGGGCCCCGCCACTAGAGACCAGGTTAGGGTTCGCTAAGAGAGCAGCCACGATGAGTAAGTGATGCCAGGTACAGGGCCGAGCATTGGCCCACCTGGCATCCTTGTCTGCAGGCGAAGGACTTGTGTTACAGATCAATGTGAGCCTACAGCAGGCAGCTTCCCACTTACCAATCAGTACAGAAGTGATGTTGATATCCAGGCGGGGTTTGGCCTTGGCCTCCAGCTTCAGTCGAGGAGGATGGAGACGACTAGCCGCCTGTTGTTGCCAGGATACAGAGCACGGCCATGGCTCAATAAATGGCTCCCAGCCTAAAAGAATGCAGGAAATAAAACATCTGTTCAGCAGATATCAAGGGTTTATAGGAAAATACTGTACATGAACGCTCAGCAAGGACAGACTACAGCTTAATGGCTCCAATTCAATCCCACAATGAAAGAGTCACTTCTGCCTACAGGTCACCCTACAGATGACTGCTGTCCTGTCTGTGGAACATGCCTGGAAGAGCATTAACACTCCCCGCCACCATGCTCTTCTCCAGGTGACAGGAAGAAGGGCAGGGAGGACACAATGCTCTGTTTCATTAAAGCCAAGTGACCTCTTCCTCAATGGAGACAGGAAAAAGATCCTCAGGCTTATCAGGCTTAGGTTAGAAAAGAAACACAGTGGCTTTAGCTAAGAGCCCCTACATCAACCCTCTTTCTAGCAGATCAATCCACTAGCTGAAAAGGGCACATTTGGAGGCTCATTAGCTTAACTTTCTCAAATTTTTGTTTTAATCTGAAAATGTGCCACATGTACAAAGGGAATTTAAGATAGATACACACACACACACACACACACACACACACACACATACATGTATGTATGGATGGATATACAATTTAAAGGAAATACTACCACAAGCGCTTGTATAAATGTTGAACTTAAGAAATAGAAAATCAGGCCAAGCATGGTTGCATACACCTTTAATTCTAGAACTTGGCAAGCAGAAGCAGATGGAGCTCGGTTGAGTTTGAGGCCAGCCTGGTGAACATGGTGAGTTCCAGGAAAGTCTGGGCTACAGAGAGAACTTGTCTCAAAAAGAAAAAGGGGGGCGGGGAGGAAAAGGAAGAAAGAGGAACTAGAAAACAACAGGTCTCTGTGAAGTCTGAGTGCTAACCCCGCCTCCTTCCCCACTCTCAGCCACTCCCAGCAACCACCTGCCTGGGCAGCTCTGCTTTCTGTCTGTCTTATACCTTTGGACTTTGGACTTCTTAAGAAGTCGTTGGTAGATGGATACATAAATGGAATCCCGCATATATTCTTTTCAAGTTTCTTGCCCCTAAAACATGTTTGAGCACATTGTTGCCATGTACTAGTGAAGCTGCCTGAGATGTATGTTTTGATCATTTTACTCCTGAAAGATGACCAGGGAGAATCTTATTATAGACAGCTGTGCCCCTGTGTGTTAGTGCGCAGACCTGGAAAGGGGTGTGCAGATCAGCTACTAATTAATATACCTGTGTTCAATGTCACTAGGTCATGATGAATACCTCCAAACTACAAGAATTATAATTCCACTTCAGAAACTATGATCCATTTGCACCCCAGTACATAGTAGTATCACATTTTACTTCTGCCTAGCTGTTGGGTATTAAAAAAATTATAGTTTGTACGTTAAGTGTGTGGTGCAAGACTAATCTTAGCACTCAGGAGGCAAAGGCAGGAGGAGTTCCATGAGTTCCAGGCCAGCCTAACTGTAACAGTAAGGCACAGACCAGCCTGAACTACAGAGTGAGACCGTGTCTCAAAACAAGCACAAAACCAAAGATGCTTAACAGTTGAAGACCAGTTTACTGACCTTCGAAAGACATGAGAGTACAGTCACAACACATCAACATGGCCAACACGCTTGTGATCTTTCTCCACCTCACCCCACCTGCCCTTTTCCCCCATGTATACAGCATGGGCCCTGGTAAACATGTACACTTATTCTCTAAATCCTACAATAACATACGCTTTATACTGACCTGACAGAGCACGGTTATAATAATCTCCAGAAAGGGTGAAGTGGGCGTAGCCCTCAGGGTTAGTTCTTATGTGCTGAAGAAAATTCAGACCTGCAACAGAAGCAAATCTCACTACAGAGGCAGGAGCAAGGCTGGCCGCCCCAAATGAACTGCATTTCACACACTAGCTACATCTGGTACTGACAGCACACATAACTACCATGCAGGTTTGTGCATCAGCTTTCATGTTTTATAATCACTGCATTTAAATGTTGTTATAGTGCTGGAAAGATGGCTCAGTGGTTAGGAGCACTGGCTCCTGGGGGAGTTGGGTTCTATTCCCAGCAACCACATGGAAGCTCACAACCATCTGTAACTTGAGATCCAAGGGATCTGATGACCTTTTCTGGCCTCTATGGGCACCAGGCATGCAGTGGTACACATACATACACCATACACAGGTTATTATCTTAATTTGTGAGTTTTTGGCAGTCCTTCAAGCACTATACCTAAAACACCATCTCACCCACCTCCACCCCAGCCTTAGGAACATAAATACCATTTCTCCCTGAATGTATGGAAAGAGGGCAGTGATAACAGAATGCTTAACCTGCTGAACACTAGCTTAAATCGCCTTTAGTGTATTTATGAATTCTTTGGGAATTTCATACAATGTATTTTAATCATATTTATCCCCAATTCTTCCTAACTGCCCCCAGATCCACTCTGACCTCTATACCTCACTCTCAACCCCAGGAAACACCTCGCCCCCCTTTAGCCCATCAACTTCAGTTTGAGCTGCCCACTGCAGTATGGTTGACCTAATAGGAGCCTCTGTGCTGCATAGAAACCATCAGCTGTCCACAGCTCCTCAGACAGGCGTGGGGGCTCATGAAGCCCTTCTTACCCCATATTAACTCAAAATTTTAAGACTGCCATAGAAAACATCAGAAGTCAGACAACTATTCTCTACCGAAAAGAAGTTTCTGACAGCAATCAAAACCCCAATGGCTTTTAATTGTGCAGCCCTGAAAAGCACAGGGAAGGGACAAAGGCTGACCTCAAGTCTCCAGAACCAAACTTCACCAGGGAGAGAAGACTGGCAAGCTGGAAACCATGGAAATGACAAATGATATTTTTTTCCATGACAGGGTTTCTCTGTGTAGCTGTCCTGGAAATCGTTCTGTAGGCCAGGCTGGCTTTGAACCCAGTAATCTACCTGCCTCTCCTCCTAAGTGCTGAGGTTAACGGCATGTGCCACTGCCACCCAGCTAGTGACAGGTGAGTTCCACCTGTTCCCCTCAGAAGCCTCGTCCCAGCACGTGCAAGAGGGCACTGAGGAGATCACACCTGCCCGGGTCACAGCCAACCGAAAACAGATGCGTAGTGTCACCTCATATGTGGCCTTCTGCAGGACAGGCCATATGAGCTTTCTAACAGAACCCTGGTCTGGTTTGCAGGAGAGGAAAAGGCATCGGCATTCTTAACCAGTGTGTGTTTTAGAAGTCTATTCACCACTCTGGTCATGTGTGAGAGAAGACAAGAATGGACACACAGGGTGACTGGGCCAGAGCTCCTGAGGTGATGGTAATTTTATTGGTGTCAGTCTCTACTATTCCTGAGCTACAGGCTGAAGTCATGAATGGGAAATATGTAAAAAAAATTCTGGGTGACTTTTTTTTCGTACCGATACTTGAGTATGTCTTACTTTCCTCAACTGTCCCACACCTATGCCCTCGGGTGTGGCTCACTTTCTGTTGAGAACCTCTCTCTATATCCTGCTTAAGCTTATACTAAAATATTTTTACTAAGCTTCAACTCTGCTTTGTTTAAAACAAAAATCTGGTAGGGCATAGTGGTGCACACCTTTAATCCCAGCATTGGGAGGCAGAGGCAGGTGGATCTCTGAGTTCAGGGCCAGCCTGCTCTACAGAGTGAGTTCCAGGATAGTCAGGGCTACACAGAGAAACTGTCACACACCAAAAAGAATCAGAAAAACATGTTAAACAATTAAGTTTTAACTTAGTTACTTAATTACTGTACTATGAGGTAAAGGGGAACAAAAATACATGGAAAATGTAAAAGGAAGGTGCTAAGAACCCAGCAGCACTGGGCTGCTGAGGTGCCCCAAGCCAGGCACACTCACGGGAGAAGGTAAACTCAGCAAGGGGCACGTCACAGTCCATGCAGTCATCGATGAAGCAGATGCATATGCTCTCGGCCTTGACCTCCACTCCAGAGATGCGTGGGGCTGGCATGGCCCCTGGGCTGTCTCTACTGCTGGAGGCCAGGGACAGGGACTTCAGAGGCTCTGCATTCTTGAACAGCCAACTTGCTGCCTTCTTCAGCTGGCCTTCAAGAAAATCAGAAGGTGAGGAGTTGCACCATTTCTCAGGGATCTGAGAGTGGTCCTAGGGAACGTGATCCAGAAGGGGGGCGGGGGACAACAGGAATTCTGCTCTTAAGCAAACAGTAAGCTTCTACTCAAGTTGATGACACCTTTCCTGCTGACTCCCAAGGCCCCCATCCTGCGCCATCTGTGGACAGAGAAGTGAAAGGGTGGGGTGATGGGCAGGAGTGAGGTTGCCCAGAGGCTGAAGGCAGCTTGGTATGCAAATTTCATCTGTAGTTCTGCACATACAGATATTAACTGTCCTCAAATGTCTTCCTTTGTGCATAGTTTGTCTTCTCAATCGCAAACCCCGAGGGTAGAGAGCAAAATGAGGGGTGTGTGTATGTGTGTGTGTGTGAGAGAGAGAGAGAGACAGACAGACAGACAGACAGAGAACTCTTAGTACCACCTGCCTGAATAACACCCTCTTGCCCCCAAGAAGAAAAAGAGGGAAGGGACAGAGAAAAGGAGGAATAGGGGGAAGGGCAGTAGGAAGAAATCAGGGTCAGCCCACACTCAGAACACGAACATCTCATCTACTTGAGGGCCTGGGCTCTGGAGCAAGGGAGCTGCCTCTAGACCGTTTCTACACTTCCCAGCTACTGAATCTTAGACAAGCTGTTTGTTCTCTGTGTCTCACAGCATTTACAGCAGTGGTTCTCAACCTGTGGCTCAAGACTCCTTTGGGGGTCAAGCAACCCTTTCACAGGGGTCACCTAAGACCACTGGAAAACAGATATCTGCCTTATAATTCACCACGATAGGAGGAACTGTATTAAAGGGTTGTGCGCAATGTTAGGAATGCTGAGAAGCACCGCCCTACAGGAACACCCGAAAGAGGAAGTGAGTTCTCTAAGCAGAGCCTGCCAAGTCCTGCAGCCCTAAAAAGCTGTTTCCATCTTGTTGAGTAATGGGACTAAGTGGCTTTAGTTCAATAACAAAGAAACCCAATGGCTCTTACAATGTATGGAAATATGTGTTTGAATGGCTAAAAAAAAAAAGGGGGGGGGGATAAAAACCATAGGACAACTAAGTAGGCATGACAGAATATGAAGTTAAATCCATAGTGAGAGAGTGGAAACAAAACCGAGGAAGCCAGACAGCTAGTCCACCCTCACTGCTTTCAGGGGTAAAGGTAGTGATGCAATGAGCATCTCTACACACAACTGGCTGCCGGGTAGCCTGGGCATGGTGTTCTAGAGAAGACTGTGTCATCTATGGTGAGAGCCGTGAGGACACCACAGGTATGTGCACAGCCCTGTAGAGTCAGCCTAGATGCCCATCAGTGTGAGTGGGCACAGAAAACATGGTTCTCCTGCACAGCGCAGTGGTCCAGCCACAGAGAAGAATGAAATGAGGTGGTCTGAGGGAAAGTGAACACAACTGGATATCATCGTATGAAGCAAACTAGCTGGAGCTCAGAAGGACAAGTGTCACATGACTCCTCTCATTCGTGGATCCAAGACTCCATATAGATCCACACAATCACAAATCCCACTTACGCATGAGATTCCAAGGCCACAGGGATGCTACAAGCACAGATAGCCAAGTCCTGTATCTCAGCACCTTTCCCAGTCTGACCTCCAAATATACACACAGAGGCGCGTGAATACCCACTTCCATGACAGGGGAATGTCCTGTACACTGGTAATACATGTTTCCCTTACTGGTTGATGAATAGAACACTGATTGGCCAGTAGCCAGGCACAAAGTATAGGCGGGACTATGAGAGGAGGAGAATTCTGGGGAGAGGATGCAGAGAGGGGAAGTTAGAGAGATGCCTTGCAGCTGCCGAAGGAGTAACAGGTCCAGACATTTTCCAGTAAGCCAAGGCCACATGGAAATACTAAGATTTAGTAAATACTAAGAAATGGGTTAAAAATTAAGAGAGAGCTAGCCAATAATAAGTCTGAGCCACTGGCCAAACCGTTTATAATTTACATATACCTCTTCGTGTTTACTGGGGACTAAGGGCAGCAGGACCAGGCGGAACAGAAACTCTGACAACATACATGCACAAAAAGAATCAGTATTGGTCTGTTCAGAGCTATGAGAGCTCAGCACATGGCCACAGCCATGGCTGCCAGAATCACCACCGTTACCAACACCACCAGTAACCACGACTAACAACTACTCCCAAGTGCCAGGCACTTCACCAAAGCCAGGGCCTCTTTGCCTGACTTCACAGATAAGGTCGCAGTAGCATGGAGCAGTGACTGCTCAGGGTCCCTTAAAAGCAGGGACAAAGGAAGAATGTGACCCACACAGCCAGCAACAGTCAACCTCCTGATCACAACGATGGCCAAACCAGAATCATACTCAGCCCCCCCCACAGAGGATACATCGCCCCCCTGAATATGCATACCTTCTCCCCCCCCCCCCGGAACTGAGGAAAAAATGAGAGGAAAGCATGTTGTCAAGACAAACGGTAGGTCACAGACCCCACATGGGAATTACCTTGACACACCAGAAGAGCCTTGCGACAATCATCCATGCTGAAGCCCAGCTCCTGAAGTCTAGCCAGCTGCAACTCTAGGAAACAATTTCACACACATTACTCCACAGTCTGCAAGTAGTTGAAGGAGGAACTATGGCATTTCCTTTCTTGAGGGGAAATGGGCTCCTTGTATAGCCCTCTATCAGGTATACCCTGGACTTTTCCATCATTTCCTTGTGTTTTAGCTTTAAGACTGGAAGTCTATTGTTTAGTGTGAGCAACACTGACTCCAAGTTTTCAGAGGAAAAATCTCAGTTTCTACAACTAAGATGAGCCATACAACTCCAGAAACCGAGCTGTGAGCTGGAGCAGTCGCTGTAGAGTCATTCTTATGATTTACAATTTTACTCAATGACAAAGAATTAGATTATGAACAGTTGAACTGAAAAAGTTGGGGGGGGGGAGCTACCAGTATGATGGACAAGTCAAGTACTAGGGAGGCTGAGGCAGGAGGACTGCCATAAGTTTGAGAACAGCATGGATGATGTATAACATATCAAATGTTGAACCAGTCAGGATGCAGAGTCAAATGAGAGAGAGAGAGAGAGAGAGAGAGAGAGAGAGAGAGAGAGAGAGAGAGAGAGAATACGTATTATTAAGAAGACTGATCAGGTTTCCAATTAGACACCTACCCAAGACAGGATCTAAGGTGTGTTTTGACCCCTCTCTGACATCCTCTCCAATTCCAGATGCCCCTGGGAGGCAAGTGCTGATGGAGTCTGCCTCCAAGGCTGCTGTGTCCGGGGCTGCAGCACTAGCTTGCTCTGGGATGGATTTTGCAATGGCAAGAAACAGCTGAACATCATTATAGGAGAGTCTGATATCCAGGGCTTGTAACTGAATCTAATGGAATGTAAAAGGTAGCAATGGTTTTAAATGCGTTTGGCTTTGTGCCCACACATCACTCAAACATAATTCCTATTTTATGTCCCAGAAGTCCAGACATCACCACAACTTCTCATTTAAAAGATTGCAAAGATCTTAAAATTAAGCAAATGATGGTGAGGTAATGTCTCAGCCAACAGGTAATAGCTACAAAACTGAATGAAAATTAAAAAAAAAAAAACTAAATTAGGATAATTACTAGAGCAATTAGTACCTCAAGATCAGAATATGACTGGGGGTGAGGAGCACCTAATGGTAATATTTCATTAATACATTTTGCATAGACCTATTATATTTTTTTAATCTCTGAAATAAATTGATCAACTGTGATGGGTGGCTTTATCAACTTGATACAACCTGTAATTAGCTAGGAGGAGAGTCTCAGCAGGAGACTGACTGTACTGAGTTGGCCTTTGGACATGTCTCTGAGGGCATGTCTTAACTGGATAAAGACCCAGTCCACTACAGGCAGCACCATTCCCTAGGCAGGGGGTGCTGAAGAACAGAGAAATCATGCTAAGTGTGAGCAAGAAAACAATCATGCATGCACTCATTTCTCTCTGCTCCTAACTGTGGATAAGATGTGACAAGGTGTTTGAAGATGTAACCTCTTTACAGTATTGAACCATAATCTTGAATTAGAAGATGAAATAAACCCCTTTTTTCCCCTAAGTTGCTTTTCAACAGGACATTTTATCACAGCAACAGAAATGAAACTAGGATAACTACAAAATGGGTTTCTTTGCCCTATATTGCCAGCATTCAGAAATAGAGAGGTAGAAAAAATCAGGAGTTCCAGGCCAGCCTAAGCTACAAGAGACCCTGTCAATAGTAACAACAATAATAAATGACAATAATAACATTATTATTAGTAAAGACAACAATGATGAAAAACAACTGTCTTTCTCCAGACATCACCTTACAATGGTCAAGTCTGGAAGTACCACTCCCCCTCAGCAGTGAGCAGCTCAGACTCACTGGACAGGGCAGTCAGACACTGCAAGCAGGCAACACTGGACAGGATGCAAAGGGTTGAGAGAAACCTTTCTTTATTCACTCACTCAGTTTTTTCCAGTGAGAAACTACTGAAAAGCAATACAGCTTTTCTCTTTCAGGTGCCCATGGCTCAGGTGGACTGATTAATTACTGCCCTCTTATCAAGGAAATGACCTGGCTTAGAGAGACGGCTCAGTGGTTCAGAGCATTTACTGCTCTTTCCAGAGGACCTGAGTCCAGTTCTCAGCACCTGTACTAGGCACATCCACAGACATACACACATACACACACACACACACACACACACACACACACACACACACACGTAAATACAAGGAAATAAAAAAAGATGAAGAACACCAGATGTGTAAGCCTCCCTTTCCTAGCTTCAGTCCTTACCCCCTCAATACCTCTCGGTCCCAGTGAAACCTTCTGCTTCTGCCCTAACTCGGCTTCTTGTTCTGGAATGACCTCCTTCCTCTGCTGGCCTATATCCTACCTGACCCACCACGCCCCAGAAGTCCCAATCCTGCAGCAATCTACACACTATTCCTACCTGTTGAATTATGCTTCCTGTCAACTTTTATTAAAGAACTTCAAAAGGATACTAGCAGCCAGGTTGTTGGTGGTGAACGCCTTTAGTCCCAGCACTCGGGAGGCAGAAGCAGGCAAATCTCTGTGAGTTTAAGGCCAGCCTAGTCTACAGAGATAGTTCCAGGACAGATTCCAAAACAATACAGAGAAACCCTGTCTCAAATTAAAAAAAAGAAAGAAAGAAAGAAAGGAAGGAAGAAAGAAAGGAAGAAAAAAAGAAAGAAAGAAAGAAAAAGAAGAAACAAAATGATACTAGCCTATTAAAGGGTCTTTTATCCTTGTCCACACTGCAAGATCATAGGTGGCATCATATTTATTACATCTGCTGGGGTAACTACAATGGTGCTAGATCAGAGTGGTCAATAGGGAACCACAGTGCATCCAAGAGTTGGGCTCTGTCAGGGCCCATAGAGATGGCTCCACTTCATCTTGACTTAAGGTCAGAGAGTTGAAACCCACTACTCCTTGTTCAAGGTTTAACAACAGGACAGTTGGCCTAAGAAGTAACTGATGGATGTCTTACTTTAACAACAGCCTGAGGTGTGGCTACAGTCTATCTTGCCTTGACAACAGGACACTTGGTCTAGGGTGTGGTTACTTGATGTTTTGGATATTGAGAAGGTAATTATGCCTGCTTGTTCTTTTATCTTGGCAAGGAAGTCTCTTTGCCTTCCCCCACTTTTCATTGAGGTATATAAAGACTATGTGTAATAAATAAACTTGGCTTTTTCCCCCAGTATTCACTCCTGATTCTATCCTGTGTCTCTGTCTTCTCTTTAGGATCTATAATTTTTCCACATGCTATTTCTTAATCCTCACTCGCCCTCTCAGGCATGAACATGGGCAAGGACAACACTACTCAGCATTACCTCTAGGATGGGTGGGAAATCATCACTGTTGAACGCATCCATCAGCCCAGAACTATTCTGGTAAGAAGAGTTTCCCACCAGCTCCACTTGGATTTGAACTGGATCCACAATTGACAGTGCTGTGTCCTGCTCATTCCCTAGTCGGCAGGAAAACACCTGAAAATGAAATGCAGTACAGCAAAGATTACTGTGTACCTTGGGAGGGCCCTACCAGTTAGCAGCATCAGTGGACTGTCTCAGGAGCAATCAGCCCTGTGTTCTCACGGGCCCCAAATCAGCTGCTGAAGGAAATGCTGCAAAAAGATCTGGGCTGCCACTCCATAACCTGCAGCTAAGAGTAGGAGCAGTGGCTTCACCTTCAGGGACATGTTTCCAGTCCATCCGCAATGACTTGCAGAGCTCTTGCCCTCTGAGCCAAACATCCCACTTCTCCCTGGGACCCAGTCCAAGGAGATAATAAAAAATACAGAAAATTTCATTAACCATTTCAATAGTTTAAAAAGACAAAGCAAATGAGGTTGCACCGCATCTACCTGGCGAGGCATCTGCAGTCACATAAAGGCAGACGCACTAACCCAGCCCTTGGGAGATGGAGGCACAAGGGTCACAAACTTCGGGCCAGCCTGGGCTACAGAGCAAGACCCTGTCTCCACAAACATGAAGGAACAGGGAAGGAGGCAAGAAGGAAAAACACAGTTGAAAAGACTGTAGAGAGGGCCAGGTGGTGGTGGCACGCCTTTAATCTTAGGAAGGTCAGCACATCACGGGTTATGTAAAAATACAGTTCCATCAAAATATTACAAAGCTAGGCTTGGCGACTCATGAGTATAATCCTAACACTAGGAAAGCTGAGCCGGGAGGTCTGAAATTTAAGATCAGCCTGTGCTACACAGTAGGACCCTGTTTCAAATGAGCAAAATAATAATAACATTGACTTTCTTTTAAGAATGGGTCAGAACACATCAAAATAACAGAAATTATATATGGGACAGGTAATTTTCCCTCCTCTCAGAATTTCCTAATTTAAAGCACATTCATTATTAAAGCCGCCAGACAGGTACATAGGAAGGAATCCATTACCTTAGACTTCACACTCTGTGTACAATGCCAGCAAATAAAAACCAATGTGTTTCAGGGAAGACAGGAGGAAGTAAGGGAGGACTCCCATTGTGGAATCAAACTATTTTACATGTTCGGAAGGAGCAGAGGAAAGAAGGGCGCATTCGTGTGAAGGTACTCTCACCCCCTAAGAGCCTCTATCTTCACAGGGCATTTCCTTAGCACTACACAACACCAAAGCCCTTCACCATGCCCAAGATTAATGGGTTACACTTCATCAGTCCTCCCAGTGATCTACCAAAGATGCCCTACAACTGAGATCCGGCTGTACCAGCCAAAAAACAAGGCATCTCAAGTATTTTGCCACTTCATTATTCTGAGATCCTGAAACAGGAAAGTTTCCCTTTCCTCTTCTCCTTTGGGGGCTTCGGCTACACCAAGCCCAACTGTACTGAGTGCTCCTGAATCAGCCCCACAATGCCCCACTCAAAGCTGGCCTTGGGAGCAGACAAACCGCAATCCCAAGATCAATCCCAGCACCTGAGCATACAGCTCCTTGTCCCAGCCAGATGAATTTTCTTCACCCTACAAAAGCAACTGCTCAAGGAGAGAGACCCCTCTGTTTAATTCATCTGGGGTGTCACTACAGATCAGATATTCCTAAAGGGCTGGATACCATATAAAACCTTACTGCTTGTTCTAAGCAGGCCTCCCCTACCCCAGGGCCCTGGCTCTTCACAGGACAGTGCTCCTTGTAAGGGAGGAAGATTCAAGGCAAGCAGGACCACTGCCCTCAACTGTGCAAACCTGCCATGGAGTTTTTTCCAAGGCTTTAGAGGAAAAATATTCATTTTCCATTTTCCTTCAGGGACTACACAAAACTCAATTGTACCTGGTGATCCATTAATAAATTCCCAAATAAAACTCATGTCTAAGTCTTCCTTAAGAGATCATGGGGGAGATTCCATAGTGTAATACATTAACCTGGCATGTACTAAGGGTTCCCGTGGTACATGGTTTTCCAGCACTGGAAAGAAATACTGCATCTATCGTGACAGGAGGGAGATGAGACATACAGAACCAGACCACCCAACAAGGTGTGAATGGGACTAGGAACAGAGGGTCTCACTGACTAATGTCCTGAGGAAGGCGGGTGTGTCCTCACACTGGAGGGTAGGGCACAGGGGGGTAAGCTACTAGACTGGAGGAAAAAGCAAGAGGAGAAAGCAAGGCCCTTCGCTGAATCTTTCCCTATAGAAGTGATCAGGAGGCCATGATGGATATGGTGGCATAGGTCTGTATAATCCCTGCTACCCCAGAGGCTAAAGCAAAAGAATCCAAAGTTCAAGGTTAGCCCAGGCAACTGAGACAATCAAAACAGAAAAGAACTGAGCTGATCAAGGAATGTAGCTTACCTCAGTTGGTAGGGTGTTTGCCTAACATGCACAAGGCCTTGGGTTTAATCCAAAGCAACACATAAACATACACATCACTCAGTCACTCCATTATACTCACACATTATATGCATATTATATATAAATTATATACACACTATATGTATGTTTATCACATACACTATATATGCACACATATAAATTATAGACACTATGTACTGTGCATGTATAAATTACACATATACTATATATCATATATAATATATACCATATATCTATTTTAACTATATAGATGTATTATGTGAATATATAAGTTATAACATGTTATATGTATATATACATATATAATTGCATATATATATTTACAAATCATATACACTATATATATCACTGTATATATTAATTACCACACAATAAACACTGTATATTATAACCACATATATACAATTGCACACTATATATATTATACATACACATATTTATAAAGACAGAGTCTTGGGTCTTTTCCCAGTCCTACTGACTCAAAAGCTCTGGAGGTTGGGCCTAACAAACAGTTTGACATAAAAAGGGAGACAGGATGGGATGTAGCTTGGTGGTAAAGTGCTTGCTTAAACATTCATACGGCCCTCAATTCCATTTCTAGCACTGGAAAAATAAGCATTCAAGAGGGTGTTGGGGAATGTTACTTTAAGGTGTGTTTGCTTTTGTTTACGTTACATTTTGTTTAACTCTGTGAAGCTGTGTTACTGTGTCTGTCAAAAACACCCGATGGTCTCATAAAGAGCTGAACAGCTAATAGTGAGGCAGAAGAGAGAAACAGGCAGGGCTGGCAGGCAGAGAGGACAAATGTGAGGAGAAATCTGGAGAAGAGAGGATCTGGGAACGGGAGAGGAAGGAAAACTTCAGGGGCCAGCCACCCAGCCAGACATGGAGTAAGAAGGAAAGAAAGGTACACAGGAATGCAGAAAAATAAAAGCACTGAGGCCAAAGGTAGATGGGATAAATAAGAAAAGCGGGCAAGAAACAAGCCAAGCTAATGCCCAGCATTCATAACTAATCTTCAGTGTGGGATTTATTTGGGAGCTGGGTGGTGAGCTCCCTAAAGAGTCAAAAGATCAAAAACTTTTGCACAACAAGAGGCAAATATTTTTCTAGATGCTGCTCTCCAGAGCACTCTACAGTGCCATGCATGGTCTACACACAAACTTACCTCAATGCCAAACAAACTTCCTGAAAAGGGGCGATCTGCAAAGCGGGGCTTATAGGTGAGCACCGTGGTGCCTTTCAGAATAATGGCATTGGTATCAAAGCAGGACACATCTTCAACAACCACAAATTCCGTGCCTGCAAAGAACAACAGCATGAGTCAAGGCAAGCAAGGAAGCTGGCATCACCCGGCTGTCCTGACACAACTGCACCAGGTGAGCTCTCAGTGTCCTGCTACACTGCCATCCAAGACTCAGAACCTGGCAAGCACAGCTGAACTAAGAGAACAGGGCCTGGCAGAACGGACTAGAATGTAGAGAAATAACATTCTCCTTGTTGCGGGAGGCCTAAAAGATGCTCAGAAGTTAAGAAGAAGAGTACCCATCTCCAGAGGACTTAGAACCCAAGGAAGAAGAGTCAGATGGGTTGGTCAAGCAGCATGGGGCATTATGGCAGCTTTGACAGCTGTTTACACTGCCCACAAGGAGTGCAGCCCACTGGTGTCCAGCTGCCACTGTAAGTGCTGACAGATCTCTAGTCATCTGTGTTCACTCACAATGGGTTTTCATCAAAAAAAAAAAAAAAAAAAAAAAAAAAACAGTATGAAGCTAGATGCAGTGGTTTATACAACAATCCCAGCACTTGGGAGGCAAGAGGACAGCTGCAAATCCCAGGTCAGCCTGTGACACAGAGCGAGACCTGCCTCTAAAACAAAAAACAGTGTAATCCCAGACCCCCAAGGCAGAAGCAGGAAGACCTTAGTGTCTGTGGCCAGCCTGGTCTATGTGAGGCCCGGTCTCAAAAGACAAGGGCTTATGGCTGGCCCAGAGGTCTGAGCTAGCATCCAAACTGACAGACGGTGTCGTGCACTGTGAACAATCACCTGTTACGTTGACTTTGACTTCCAGGTGCCTCTCATTGGACACGGGGAGGGAAGACCGCTTGGTGACCACTCCACTCTTAACGGTTTTGGGGACGACAGCAGATTCACTGCTGGCATTGCGGTGGCGTGCTGGAGTGGCACTCTGCTTCTTAACATCACTGGGAGTGTGCAGGAAGTCATGGACCAACAGCAGCCAGTCAAATATGAGAAACACTCGGAGATTGTTGAGGACGACAGTGAAACAAGAGGAATCCTTTGTAGATCTGCAAGGAAGAAGACAGAACAGAATCACAAAGAGAAATACAGCATCTCAACCACTGCCAAGGCAGCGCTGCCTTTTCTTTTCTTCTGATTTTGTTATCCAAGATGGCCTCGAATGCCTGGACTCAGCGGTCCTCCTGCTTCGGGCTCCTATGTACCTGGGGATTCAAGTGTGCAGCACCATGGCGGCTCCCATTCCAGTGTTCCTTAAACTGCCAACTTTGAGCATGGAAACACTCAGCACTGCTTTATGAGCACACCAAGTATAAGCTTTCTGGAGGTCAATCGCGTTTTTTATTTCATGTGTGTGTTTTGCCTGCGCACATCTGTTCACCACATGCATGCCCAGTGCCCATGAAAGTCAGATGAGGGCACTGAATCCTCTGGAACTGGAGTTACAGACAGTTGTGAGCGGTCATGAGGGTGCTGGGAACTAAACCCAGGCCCTCAGCAAGAGCAGCAAGTGCACTCAATCAATGAGCCATCTCTCCAGCCCCTCATTTAAAGGAGGGAGGGACTATATCTAAGAAAGCAGAATAGCAGAATAGCAGAGCCCTCAACTAACATGAATCTACAACAGGCATTTATTAGGCAGTGTCTAGAGATATTTGCTTGTGCTGTCTTTAACAATAATTATTAGTAATAATAACTGGGAGGCAGATGCAGATGGAGCTCCACGAGTTCAAGGCCAACCTGGTCTACAGAGTGAGTTCCAGGACAGCCAGACTACACAGTGAAACCCTGTCTTGGAAAATAATAATAATTGAGAGGACAAAACTGGCACCTAGTAGATAGAACTGGGCTGTTCCTAACCATGCCACAATGTACAGGACAGCCTTACAGTAAGGAGCAGCCTGCTCTGAAATACCTGCTAAGCATCCCAATCCCAATACCAAAAATGCTCACATGTGAACTGAGATCCTTTGGATGTTCGTCATTTTTGTTGTTACGTATAGTATGTTCATGTGTGTTTGCCTGAAGGTATGTCTTTGCATTACATGTGTACAGTGCCCAAGGAGGCCAGGAAAAGTCATTGGTCCCTTGGGACAGAATTTCCGAAATGGTTGTGAGTCGTCATCTGGGTTCTGGGAATGAACCCTGGCCCTTCTGGTAAAGCAGCGTTGACTGCTGAGCCATCCCTCCAGGCCCTGGGTACTGGAAGGTTTATTAGAGATGTTTGACTAGCAAAGCCTATGTGAATTCTCCAAAATCAAGTGGGGGGGGGGGAGATCCAAACTCTGAGATGCTTCTGGCCCCAAACCCTACTAAGGAATAGCCACCCTACAGTGACAAGGCTGGGAAAGGCTGGTCCAGTACGAAAAGCAAAGGCTCTGAAGTCAAGAGTCCCAGACTAAAATCTTGCCACTCTCATGCTGTGTTATGCTGGGCATGTCAACTTGTGTCCTCATATATAAAGTGAGAAATGCTAACATTGTAAGAGAAAGCACATAGGAGGCGCATAGCAGGTATGCCCCCATGCCAGCTTCGTCTAAGACTGGTCTAAGACTGATAAAGCTACTTCTTAGAAGCTCAGCAGTGCTTTACAAATGCCACCTTCATGTACCAGTACTATCTGGCTTTAACGGCAACTCTTCAGACCCCACATCTTCTAACCCAAAGAGGGCATTGGCCATAGAAGGGATAGCAAGCACCCTGCAGTGGAAATGGGGCAGAGGGATGGGCAAGGGACAGGGAGCGGTTTTATAGTCTTCAAGGTTCCCAAGAAAGACTCTCAGGCCTGGCCTGAAGTCACAGTGACCTCAGGGGCAATGGCCAGCCCTATTCTCACACTAGCAGGCAGAGGAAGGGGTGCCAGCAGAGGCAGGCTAGAGATGGGTCACAGGGTTTAGGGGTTGAATTGATTTTGTGAATGAAGGAGACCCTGGTCGTAGCGCTCCCTGACCTGCCTGCGAAAGGCTAACCTGAGGATGTGCCCAAGGCTGCTTTCTCCAGTCGCACTTCTGCTAACCCTGGCTCACTGCCTCTAGTAAAAGGGCATGGCAAGGCACAGTTCCTTCTCACACACAGAATTTGTCACAGAAACACTCCACTCTTTTGTAATGGATAAAAAATGTTGCCCTCAGTAAAATTTTTCCACCCTATTCTGAGCAGAGACTGTCAGGCCTCGGTGCTAACTGGAAAGTCAGTGTGTCAGACCCCGTTTTGGAAAATATTTCAAGCCTTTCAACACTGTGAAGTCATTTCTATTTGACATACAAAATCCCAACAGAAGAGCAATTCTCCCTGAAGCAGTTCACTCCTCTTGCTAACAAGGGCACGTCTGTTAGCAAAAGTCAAGGTAAGAATTGATTGTTTGACTCCATAGAATTATATGCCTTTAGTGTATTCACAGAATAATACTTTGGGCTCCCTGAATATTAAAGACCTGACAGGGAGGAGACAAAGAACTGACTACTTAGAAAGTCAAGGTCAGTAACAATAAAACAAACATCAAACCACCCTTTGGCAGGAGGACCAAATACATGGAAGCCCCCCATCCTGAGAAACATCTTCAAAAGTGCTGCCAAACACACCCATCACATCCCAAGGCTACACTCAGCCAGTGACAGAGGCCAAGAACATGCAGAGTTAGTGCAACTCAGCTTTGATATCAGAGGCCCAGGTCTAACTTGTGAATGCTAGACTTCTGAGCTGTGCAGTCTTCCAAGAGTCAGTTGGCCCTTCTCCAGGTCTAGATCTCTCTCTCTCTGTCTCTCTCTATCTATCTCTGCTTCTGCCTCTCTGGCTCTCTATTGTGTGTGTGTGTGTGTGTGTGTGTGTGTGTGTGTGTGTGTGTGTGTGTGTAAAAGCAGGGCGAAGTTACCAATGTTTGCAGAGCTGGGAGGAGTCAACTGGCAAAAGGTAAGATGCCTGGTCGAGGCAGGGGCCAGCAAGAAGCCACTAGCACTGCCACTGTTGGGCTCCTAATGTTCCCACAAGGGCTAAAATGTCTCCTTTGCCAGGCTTCCTTAAGGCATATGGAGAGACCAAGAGCTTCTCCCTTCCAAAGCTAAACTGGGAGGAACTCTTGAGTGGCACACTGAAACACCAGCCACACAAGAACAATATCCATGAGCCATAAGAATCTCAAGCTAGAGCAGTGGTTCTCAACCTATGGGTCGAAACCTTTGAGAGTCAAACAATCCTGCCTTCAAAAGTGGCAGCACTTCTGAAGATGTTTCTCAGGATGGGGGCTTCCATGTATTGGGTCCTTCTGCCGAGGGGGTGGTTTGGTGTTTGTTTCGTTGTTACTGGTAGGATGAGAGTCACGTATCAGATATCCTGCATATCAGATATTTATATTACGATTCATAACAATAGCAAAATTACAATAATAAAATAGGAATGAAAATAGTTTTATGGTTGGGTCACCAAGACATGAGGAGCTGTATTAATGGGCCACGGCATTAGGGAGGTTGGGAAGCACTGCTCTAGGGGAGAAGGGAAGGGTACAAGCAGTGACAGCAGCAGCTGCTTCGGGTGCCAAGTGACTCGCCAGAATGACTCAACTGTTGCTTCATTCCATCAAAGAGGAAAGTGAATCTCAAAGCTCGACAGGGATGCACAGTTATGCAGAGGGAGACTAAGTCCTGGGGCTAAGGCCTATCTCATTCTAGAACATCTCCACCCTCTCAGTCCCCACCGCCTCCCATGGTGCCAGAGTCGGGAGACCTAAATAAATAACTGTTCAGGTTGAAACGCCTTCCCTTTCATGAAGGCCAGAAAGCTCTGGCTTGGGGGTTTTCCTTCAACTCACATAATTTCTTCCTTCCCGAGTCACTTAACAAATTAAAGCTTACAAGGAGGTTGATTTTGAGGATCTGGCTCCATGCCAAACTACTTTGTTGTTGTTTTAAGGCAACAGAGACATCTTTTGGTGAGTCCTTAACACTGCATGGAAGCAACCGGTGCTGAGTGACAGGGAACGCTGCTGACTGCCAGTCAGCCCCAATCTTTGATCCTTAGATGTTAGAAAGCCACACGGACTTGGCCCACTGACCACAAAGGGAAGTATTTCCATAGAGAAAGATGGGAGGGGGGGGGAAGAGCTGGCTCAGCAGTTAAGGGCACTGACTGCTCTTCAAATCCCAGCACCCACATGCAGCTTCTGTCTGTAACTCAGCCGGGGGTCCAAGTATGGGTACATGCCTGTAATCCCAGCACCGGGGAAGTAGAGGTAGGAGGATACTACCTTCAAGGAAAGTCTGGTCTACAAGGTAAATTCCAACCCGGCCTGGGCCACACTGAGAGGCCTATGGGGACGGGGGTTAGTGAGAGAGGGAAAGGACAGCAGAGCTGCCGTCGGCCTCCACTACCTGAAATGCAGTTCAATCTGAATGGAGCCCTGGGTGGCGCAGCTGCTCTTGGATGGCTGAAAGATACAGTTGAACACATTGGTCATGCCAGGGCTGGGCTTCTGCCCAGCATAGCGGGTGTCAAATGCCATCATAGAGTGGGAAACCAGGTTAATGGACTTGGTCTGGTTGGAAAAACTCTCATAGAGCAGCTTACATTTCTTAAAGTCAAATCTGAAAGGGAAGAAAGCAAACGAAAAGTTAAACACAATCCCACCTTACAAAACTAAGTTCAAGTGTGGAACAATCGCACCCATCAATGTCCCAGAGTAGCTTTCAGTCTGAGATACTGCATCAGTTTTGTCCACAGGCCTCTCAAAATGCACTCAGTGCACTGTGCTTTAAACCTTCCGCATTTGCAGAAAGGTCATTATATCCACAGGAATGCACGAGGAATAACAATATACCCAGTCTATTTATTATATCTATCCTTGATGCTTTACAGCCCCATATCCCATCCTAAGCTAAGAAAGCCATGCGTTAAATCATAACCCCAGTAGATATCTAGGGCCTCTTTTACCTTGTCTGTGAAATTATAGCTTGCCTGAGGCTTCTCTTCCCACAGTCAGCCTGTGCATCTGTGTGAGACCACCATAGCTCCCACAGCCAGCCTGTGCATCTGTGTGAGACCACCATAGCTCACTAGAAGCAACCAAAACTCATCCTACTCTGCACACAGGGAAGTGAGTCAGCTGACCCATCAACAGAACGTGAATCCAAACCCAGTTCTTTTCTGGGAAAAGAGAAAGCTGCATAAAGCAATTAGTAGTTGCTTGGTACCATTATGATGATGATACACACAGAATCAGAATAGTTGGAAAACTAAAGTTGGGGGGGAAGCCAGCTAGTGGTGGCACACATCTTTAATCACTTAAAAGGGAGAGGCTTGAGACCAGCCTGGTCTACAGAGCAAGTTTCAGGACAGCCAGGGCCACACAAAAAAACCTTGTCTCGAAGGGGGGGGGGGGAGGGTTGAGGATAATTCACCCAAACAGAAGAGCAAGAAAAAGTAAAGGAACAGTCAGGCATCTAAACAGTAGCTGGTCCCCAAGAACAGTGTGGGGACCAGGTTCACCATCATGGCTCCCCTCAGCTGATCTGGGAGCCTGCCACACAGGCTTTAAACAGGAAGACAAGCCGGAAGTCAGAGTGCTTCAGACAGACAGTACTAGCTTTGACACCACATTTTTGAATGTGAGTCAACTTTCCAGCCATATAGCCTTAGGCTAGTAAAGTAAAAATTAAACTAAAAACATTATATAGCAACAACAGCATTCTATCTGGAAAACTGGAATATTAGCTGCCCGACTTAGAGGACAAGGGAGGGCTTTCAGAGTAAAAGTACAACGAGCCCTTCAAAATCCCACTCCAAATTCCTACACCGTAAATTCCCACATCTACTCTCACAAACAAATGATAGAAGTTAACTACAGGGCCAGCACACACTCAAAAAGGGAGCAGCTACTGTGTTGCTTCCAGAGGTTTCCAAGTAGGGAGCTCAGCCCAGTGCTGCCAATTTTCAAACAGTTCTCATTCATATTCTCTATCTGCCTGTCTATATCTGCCTGAACTCTCGCATTTAAAACACTGACCCACAAGGCAGTCACCAGTGGTGCACTGCCCAGAACTCTGCCAAACCTATATAAATATAGGGCAAGGCGACCCCCAACCCCTCACCCTGGTCAGACCATGCTCCAGCTCCATGCTCCTTGGGTGGCCACCAAAGTGCCACCCAAGGCCATTCCTGAGCTCTTGTTTTCCTATCTGCCCTGTCAAAATGCTCAGCACAAGGGGTACAGTGACACCTATGGCCCAGGTACTCCAGGAAGCTGAAGCTGGGATCCTGAAGTTCACACTGAACCTGGGCAACACAGCAAGACTCTACCTCGAAACCAAAAAAATAACCAAAGCAAATGTTCTGTCACTCAAGACTCAAAACAACAGAACAGCCTGTCACCCACAGTGTCCTTCACAACTTTCAGCCACCAGTATTTGGGGCTGGCTGTTAAAATGGCATAAGCTAACCTGACAAGCTCACAGGATAACCAAACTGAAACTTGCACTCGGTGGCCAGGGACCAGGGGCACAGCTCTGTGGTACCTGATCATCAGCAACACCAGCGTATTTGCCATGCGCTCTCACGTGCACACACACATCCTCACTCTCGTGCACATACAAACATGATCACACAAACACACACATGCACACGCACACACATATACACACACACATCCTCACTCTCGTTCACATATAAACATGATCTCACACACACACCCTCACTCTCATCCACATACAATCACACATGCATGCACACACGCACCGTGCACACACACACTCTCTCATGCACATACAAACATGATCACACAAACACACACACGCACGTGCACACACATACTCTCTCATGCACATACAAACATGATCACACAAACACACACACGCACGTGCACACACATATACACACACACACCCTCACTCTCGTGCACATACAAACATGATCACACAAACACACACACGCACGTGCACACACACACTCTCTCATGCACATACAAACATGATCACACACGTGCGCACGCACGCACACGCACAACACTGATGGGAGATGTCATTCTGTATATGTTTCTCATACTGGTTAATGAATAAAGCACTGTTGGCCAATAGGAAAGGAAGATAGGAGGGACTAGGAGACAAGGAGGAAATAGGAAGTAGGAAGGAGGAGTCAAGATGGAGAGTCTGAAGAAAGCAGTATGCCGCTGGCTCCCCGGTAAGAGAAATACATAGATCAGCAGAAATGGGTTAATAATTAAGGCAGAGCTAGCCGATAAGAAACAAGTAACCGGGCCAACAGCATTGAATCAAATACAGAGTCTCTGTGTATTATTTGGGGCTGGCGCAGCAGCAGGACAAGACCAGGCGGCGGGCGGAAAAACCGTACTCCTTACACAACACACCCTCACACACATGCATGAACAAACACACACACACAGCACTTACACACTTCCTCACCTCACACACCATCGCACTCTGCCCTGTGCTAATGGGAACGGGTGCATTCTCACATCATTCTCAACTACCAGTAAAATCAGAGTTAATGGAAGTCTGACCTGGCTAGGGAGCCAGTGCCTTCTTTTCCTTTCGGATCCTTGAGCTCCAGACTCACGTTCACCATATCAATGAGGAAGCACATGCAAGTGTACACTTCTCCGCTCAGCACAGTCTGTGAAGGGAAAACGCTAGTCAAACCTCGGGTGACGGTGCCAACCTGAAAATAAACTCAAAGGTAAAGAAGTCCAACCCACTCGCTGCCTCACCCACTCCCTTCTGCTCCCCACCTTCTTGGAGGAATATCCACACGGGCGACCATCAGCTAAGGCTACAGTTACAGACGGACACCCAGTCCGTCTCACTCACATGAATCCTGGGATCCTGCAGGTCGTAAGGCCGCATGAACTCTTCTATGGGCTCCCCCAGGTTGTTCTCTAGTAAGCCACGGATCAGCTTGTATTTACACAGATCCAGGGAGCAGTGCACGGATGACAGACTGCCATGGACAGATATGTCTGCAACGGTGTGGCTTATTTCTCTATGAGAAAGAAAGGAGGCCACTCTCAGGAATAAGTCACTAAATGCCTTGGAACAGTACAGCCAAATGTAAGGCTGCAATGTGGCTACCTATATTATCAGCCACTTACTACCAATGGCAAAAAAAAAAAAAAAAGTCATATATCTCCCAAGGATCAAGTTACTATGACTGTGACTGCCATGCTTTAACTGCAAAGAGACTTTTAGCATCCAAATGTGCACAGAGGAAACCCGGCCTAATGAGCTGGGGATGTAGCTCAGTAGTCCAGTACACATGGACCCCAGGCTCTACCTCCACCATGCCAAATAAGTGCATACACAAATATGAACATAGACACACAAACATGTATGAACTAATGCTGCTTCTTTTTATTGTACATATATGGTCGTTTTGCCTGCATGTATTCCTATACACTACATGTGTGTAGTGTCTGTAGAAGCCAGAAGAGGGAATCTTATCCCCTGGATATGGAGTTATAGGTGGTTTTCAGATGCCATATGGGTGCCGGGAACCAGAGCTTAAAACTGACATCTCTCCAGCCCCAAGCTTTGTTTTGATTTTGGGTTTGGGTTTTTTTTTGTTGTTGTTTTTTTTTTTTTTTTTTTTTTTTTTGGTTGTTGTTGTTTTGCTTTGGCTTGTTTTTGAGACAGTCTGACATTGTGGCCCATACTCTTGAACTCAAAGCAATCCTCTCCCTCATGAATACTGGAATTACAGTTGTAACCATACCAGTCCTAACTATCCTAGTAATAAGGAAAATCTCACAAGACTCAAAAATAGCTTAAACATTCCAGGTGGGGACGTAATAAAGGCAGATGGAGACTCTTAGCTACAGCTCCAATAGGAGCAAGAAGAAACGAGTCTTCCCTCCTGAGGCAAGGGGGACACGCCTCAGGATGATACCTGACAGTACCCGGAGGAGCTGGACTGAGACAGAAGAAGCCCAGGGCAGCCAGGACACACATACCTCATGCTAGGATTAAAGAGCTCTCTCTGTCTTTCATGGGTGTAACAGGCATCATGGGTCCCCAATATACAATATCTGAAAACATGAACTCAAAGGCTAGGATACACACATACACATACACACACACACACACACACACACACACACCTGCTCTAGAGCTGGGGATATAGCTCCATGGTAGGGTGCTTGTCTGACATATACTATGTCCCTAAGTTTAACTCTTCAGACTGCCAAAAATAAATAAAAAGTAAATAAATCTGACTTGTCTGCAAGGGGAAAACCTATATACAATAAAGCTGCTTTGTTTTGTTTTATTTAATGTACACAAGGGAGCAGGGGGAAGATGTATGCATGCTGAGTGCAGGCATCCAAGGAGGCCAGAGGCATGGGATCCCCTGAAGCTGGAGTTACAGATAAGCCTCCTGACACAGGTGCTGGGAACCGAACTCAGGGCCTTTCCAGAGCAGCACAGCTCTTACCCTCTGAGCCATCTCTCTAGTCCCACAGTAGAGTTTTAAAGACCAATAATGCGAATGACAAAGGACAACTGGGAAGCACTGCCATGTGGCACACTCGTGGGTGGGGAGTGGACAGCACAGCCGCTGGTATATTCTCACGGAGCGACACAGCCTTGCCACACTCCACACAGCACCAAAGGGAGGGGAGAAGTTTAGAGAAGCAGAAAAGAAAAACGCTTTTTAAAAGATCATTGCTTGCAGAGAAAACCAAGGGTTTGGCTCCTAAATAAGAAGTTCTTAGGATGGCCAAGCCAGGCTAGCCAAACAGAGCCCATACCAACCATAACTGGACACCAGCCAGTGAGCACTGGAATAACAGGTTCCAGTGAGAGAAACACCCCAGTGAGCTAAACCGAAATGGAAAGTGACGTGAAGTGAGTTGCCCAAACCCGAGGACCGGAAAGCGGCTGTTCAACGAGTGTCCCCATTGCAAATATCTTTGTTTGGGTTTTGTTCATTTTACTTCATCTGTGTGTACACATGTGTGTGCAGGTGTGTTATCCCAGAGGAAGGCACATTGTGAGGTGCCTGGCACAGATGATAGGGACCAAACTTGGATTCCCAGAAGAGCAGCAAGCTCTTTTCACCACTGAGCCATCTCCAGCCTCAACAAATCTCTTTGGTTGCCATCTAGACACTTTCTATCTTTCCTTGGAGCTAAGATGCAAAATACTGCTTTCTGCCACACCAAAGCACCGTTACTGAAAGATGTGATTTGCTGTAATCAGTGCTTCCAGCCCCCATGTGTGGTCCAGGCAAGCAGGAGCTCTCACTCCCTAGGCCACCACCTTGCTAAATACACACCCAAGCTTTGGCCCTGAGCATGATTCTGCTGGTCTAGGGTCATCAAGTTTCTCAGGCAAGGGTGAAGCCAGTGAGAACCGAATCAATGATTGCTCTAACTACAGACAAGCCTCCGGCACTCTCAATAGGCTCCCTGATGTGGGCTCCAGGGGTCAGCAGGAACAGGTCCAGAGTCTATTACACTTGGCACACTTACTCCAGATGCCCATCTTCCAGATACCCTGCCTGTTCTCACTATCTCCCTATCACCACTTAAGTCCATGCTAAATAAATCCTAACTCTTTCTTCTTTGTCCCCAAGGCAAGGTTACAAAAGAGACCACCACCACCACCACCCCCCCCAATCAAACACTAAATTAGAGCCATCTAAACACCTTCCTCTTTGACGGCAGCAGTTTCTCTTCTACCACAGACTCCCTTACATCTAGCACATAGCAAGGACTCAATTAACATTACTACATAGGAAAAGAAATGCTCCTCACTTACCTTCCGGCTCTGATTTCTAAGCTGCTAACATTCTACTTACATGGCACTCAGATAAAACACTCACTTGTCCAAATTCCTCTCCACCTGCAATTTCAGCCTACAAGGCTCAGTTAAGAGACTTCCTCCTGTCTGTCGCACAAAATAGGAAGGGAAGATCAGGTCCCCACTGCTGCTGTCGGAGGCTTGAGAGCCCTCTCTGGGACGTCTCTCTGCAGCAAAGATGTCCATATCCTGCAGATCCACGACAATGCAATCCAGCAGGCAGACATGGTCTTCTACAAGGGCCCAAGGGAAAAGAGGTAAGGGCAAGAGTAGCATGCAGAGAGGCCTGGGCCTGAGCAAACTACAGTGTCAGAGTCCGTTCATTCGGTCCTTGAAAATCAGAACCAGCTGTTGCCCTGCTCTGCACTACTCAGCAACCTGGCTGTCAGGGGCCTCAACTACGGCCTCAAGAGCCCACCATGCCCACCATGCAAAACATCATAGCTCTGTGTCCAGCACACGCTGCTGCCCACCCTTCACACCTGGCCATGCTGCTCACATACTATGTTTAGCCATTTCTACCACTACTGATCAAACCCAAACCAAGTTCACCCTTGCCTACAACACCTCCACAAACAATCCTCCAATGTGCCTACATAATTCCACATTCTTTCCACAAGACAACTGAAAGAGTCCCTTCCTTTGGAAATTTCAGTGGCTATGTTTAATCAAAAGTTCTGCCAAACTCCCTGTAAATGCTTGCAGGGTCCTAGGTAAGCCCACAGCCCACTCTTCTGACTTCAGCTCAAGCCAGTCTCCCGGTTGCTCTCCACATTTCAGGACTCCAGGCTTTTGCATCTCCCAAAAGGCCATGCTCTTTGCTTCTTGGCAGCCTCATCAGTACCATGACCTTCCCACCTTGATCTACATCGGGTCCTCAATTTTCTTCTGTCTTTCCCATAACATGTACTATAACCTATCAATGCTAATGTTCATCTAATATCTTTCTCCTGGAAGTACCACCCTGGGAGGAACTATATCTAAGGGGATGTATACATGTATGTGTATATGTATATGTATATACACATACATGTATGTATGTGTATGTATATATATACATGTATGTATATGTATATATATACATATATGTATATATGTGTACATATATACATATACTATAACACCTGGCATTAAGCAGGAACTTGGTAAACAGTTCTTGATGGAATGGCTGTTCTAACAAATATGTGAAACCCATGAGAGCAGGACTGATCAGTGAGAGAGATGTAGAACAGTAAGGCCATGGCCACAGTGATAGGGAGCAGCTGTAGAAGTAGAACTGCATGGAAACTGTGAGAAAACCACAACCTTCGTCCAAGGCCATGTACCACTGAGGAGCGAATTTTAGTAAAAACCGTCAGCGGGGTAGGAGGAATGATGTTGGAACAGACACATTCCTGTAAGACGTTCCAAATGTCATTTATGTGTTTGTACATGTTTGTATATATGCATGTGTGCAACGTCCATGCACATTCACTTGTCTTGTGTCATCTTCCTCAATTGTTCTACACCTTATTTTTGGAGCGAAGTCCCTCACTCAACCTGGAGCTTACCCATTCAGCTAGACTGGCTGACCAACAATCCCAGGGATCCCCCTGCCTCCACCTTCCCAGCACTGGTATTGCAGGCATATGTCACTTTGTCCAGTTTTGTTGCTATTGTCGTTTAACATGAGGACTGGGAATTAAATGGCAGGCCTCATGCTCGTGTGCAAGCACTCTCGCTAGCCATCTCCCTAGTCATCATCGTCCTCCCCACCCCAATCTCTTCATACAGGCATCCACCTATATGTCAGGCTGCTGCATGTCTAATCGTCATCGTCTTAACCTCTTACAGAGCGGTTCAAGCCACCCCTCCAAATACCACAGCACCAATCAGAGCTCAGAGATAAAGTCACCCTGATCAACTGTCTTCTCCAAAAAGCCCAAAGAGGAAAAACAATAGAAACAAGAGTATCCATAGCAAGGTGACAACAGCCTCCAAGGTCGTTTTACAGCATTTCTATCCTTAAGCCTCACTGACACTAACCTTAGCGTCTTATTTTGGGAACAAAACAGTGACCTGAAAGTCTGGTAAGAGCTCATAAGGACCTGTGAGAGTCCCCCAGATAACTGACAGTCTTCATTTCTGTCACATCCTCTAATGAACTACTTCAGAGGTTATCAGAGACTAAACCCGCCTAAGACACACATGCCTCAAAAGCAGCATGAGGCCTGGGCATCCCATAGACACCTCCTCACATCAGCCTTGAGCTCCACAGAGCTCCCCGGAAGGGCTTCAGGGCAAGCCCCACCTTCACTGTGCAGCTCTTTCTTCTTTGCTTACCTGGGCTGCTGGAACTTTGGCTAACAGGTGGCACGGCCTGCTGCCCACGCTGCTTGATAGAGGCACTGGGTACAAACTCACTCTTCAGGCTGCCAAGGCCCATCCCTGCAGGAGGCATCATGAACAGCCCCTGTCCATGCGGCCCCTTGGGATCCTCTGTGCTTGTCGTCTTTTTCATGCTGTGTTTGGGTGTACCTGTAGGAGAAGCTGAAGGCACGGATTCCTAGGAGGAACAAAAGAAAAGTAGGATGCAGAGATGAGGGGGTAACAATACCTTCAGTGGCTCATAAATCACATCCTAGTCTCTAGGCTCTCAGACTGTAGTGGGCACACTGCCCTCAGACCTAGAGCCAAGAAAGTGAGGGTTGTGACACAATCATCTTCAAAAATGCTGCCAAAGGCTCCACACCTGTTGAGAGCTACAGCAGCATTGCAAGAAGACACTGTCTCTTGGCGCAGGAACAAAAACCAATTTCAGTCAAATTCAACCAAAGCAACTCTCTCGACCATACAACATATTTACTTTTGGGGGAGAGGGAAAATGTATCTAGGGGAATGAAGATGTGTCTAAGGTATCAGAATGCCTCCCTAGTCTACAAGAAGCCCTGGGTCCAATTCCAGCACCAAATCAACTGGATGTGGTTGCACACGCCTGTAATCCCAGGTAGAGGTGGGAGGGGTTCAAAGTTACCCCCAGCCGCACATGAGTTTGAAGCCAGCCTGGGATATATATAAACAGAAAGTGCCCAATGGCAATATGGCCGCAGCACAATTACCCCAGGGAGATGCTGTGCACCCTAGGCCCCCAGCACATTCACATCTACATAGCCACAGAAATGAAAAGAAGGCAAGCAGAGGAGCTCAGGTTTCTGCCCATAGAGTAAAGCCAGCCCTGGAAGTCTCTAGAAAGGACAGGACTCATCTTGCTGAGAGCTTTTAGTTGATTCCACAGAGTGAGCCAGTCATTGACTTTTCAGCTCCTTCCCTGTGAGCCCTGTCTGTGTGTGGCTTCTACATCGTGGGACAGCTTCTTCTTGGCCCTGTCACATATACCCCGGCAGCAATGAGAAGCAATGGTTCCCTGCTGCTGCTGCAAGGCTGACTCCTCAGCTTTGAACTACAAGGTGAAACCCCATGATCTCTCCAGTTCTTAACAGTAGCACAAGCTCCCTGCATTTCTTTTCAAGGAAGGTCACTGGGTAAATGTCTCCATATAAAAACTGCCCTTGTGCTCTGCGTACTTCAGCTGCAGAGACTGCTTGTTGCTCTTAGACTTGACCTACCTACCTCCACGTCCCCTCTGTAGTTAGTTTAAATAAGACAGTGGCTCGAGGAGATCAACCCGGCACTTTTGAGAGACTCAACTTAGAAATTATGGTTTAAGTATAAGCTATGGAAAGGCAAGTGTATGCCAAAAATCCAAACATGTCTTCTGTAAGACGTGATTTTATAGGAAACTGTCCCCACATTCGGAAGTCATAAAACCTGAGGACACAAGGTACAAGTGCTCCAGCAATCCACAGACTCCGTGTCAAGTGGCGTTCTTGGGCCACTGGACTGCATATTAGACTACCTCACATGAGCAAGAACATCAACAGGCAAGTGTAAATGCAATGTGGAAGAGGAAAGTATCAAAGAAACCATCAGTCAATACTGAGCACCTATGAGGAGAGGTGAATGGCACAGCTAAGCACACCAGATCATAGAGATCTGAACAATGATACACTCCACACAGCCTTATGGAATTCCACAAACAACCACCAGTGTGTAACACAGCAGCTGTCCTAGGATCTCTGGATATAAATGAGGTCATTCAGGAAGTACTAGCCAGGGCTAAAAAAAAAAAAAAAAAAAAAACCCTGAATACAAGCCTTAAGAAAAGCTTCTCTCCTCAGGTGAGGAGTAACTCCCCAAAGTGTTGGCACAGAGAGTAACAAAGCAGGCCTCTCCCACAGTGGAACATTTCAAAGAGTCAGCATTTGGGGGGCTTTGAGTGGCTTGATTTTGTTCTATCTTAAGTACATGAATGTGAACTGACTGCTGAATCCCATAAGGTTGTTTTTTGCCACCCCCCCCCCAATAGTGGAAGGAAGGAAGGAAAAGGGAGGGAAGAAGGGAGGGAGGGAGAGAGGGAAAAAGGAAGGAAGGAAGGAAGGAAGGAAGGAAGGAAGGAAGGAAGGAAGGAAGGAATCTACTTTATACCCTGAAGAAAAGGAAATCTCTGTAGGTACTGCCACCTGAAATCAAATCCTCAAAAACAAAGATAGGCAAGTCTTTGTCATTAAAATGCTATAATTTGTGTTGTTATTTGGCTTAACAAAAATAGGAATCATTTTATAAAAAACACCTTGAAACAGTTTGGCAATTGTTCATCCACAGCTAACTTTAGAGCACACTTGTCTGCTCATACACAGACAATGAGCCTATTCCTTTTTTGGGAAGGGGAGAGACACAAAACAGTGCTACTAAACTAGATTTCTGACTACAGGTGACTTTATGCCTCAAACATCCAGTGTGACCTCAAAATAAAGATGTATCCATCGAGAACACATTCCAAAGCACTGGCTATGTGGCTCCAGGAACTTTCTGTCGTACTCCCTAGACCTCCAGAAAGGAAGCAGGGCTAGAGATAAAGTGCTGTCATGAAGGGCCAAGGGGCTCACCAACAGAGCACACACAGTGGACTCGTCGTTACAAATTAGTAGATACGCATGCAAGAGAAGGGGGCATGTACCAGTGCATTCCAGAGAGGTCTCTGTGCCCCTAACCCTACCACATCCTCACCCTACACACCTATGCATCCGATCCTTTATCGGAGCCTTTTCTTCCCTCTGTAAAGGAGCCAGCAAATGTGCTTCCCCAGAGTTCTACGAGCTCTTATAGCAACTTACTGGACCTGAGGGAGCATTGTGGAAACTCCTAATCTGTCACTAGTTAGTCAGAAATGTGAGTCCCTAGACCTGTGGCTAGCCCAAGCTAGCTAACTTCAGGTAGTTGCACCATGACTGACTTGAACTCCCAACAGCTTTCTACAATGTTAAAAACAGAGTGGGTAGAGAAGCCCGCACACAGATGATGTCAGAAGTGGTATGAAGAAACAGGGTTTTTTTTTTGTTTGTTTGTTTGTTTTTGGTTTTTTTGTTTTTTATGTAAAGGAGTTAGCACCAAATGACATGCAATGGTGTTCAACAAGCATCAACTACTTACTGCTATTTTTGTTGTTCTGATGAGCTCACAATCAGATTTTATACTCACTTCCTTGACGCCTATCTCTTTTCCTATCTTATGCTCATCTCCCAAACACCAATCTCTTTTCCCACATTTTTGGCTGCTGAGGTGACAAACAGGCACAGCTGACAGGGATTCCAGTAAGTGCATTTCCCATGCACTAAAGATGAGTTTGTACTGAGTAAGCACAGGCCGTGGAGGCCTGGAGACTAGCAAGCAGTGGTGAGCACATACCCTGAGAATGGCATCTCTACTGTTTAGACATGTCACTCAGGCTCCCGGGAGGCAGAAGCCAGCGAGGGGGTCATCAGAGTGCCCCCAAGGTCCACTTGGCTTTGGAGCTTCCTGGCTGTTCACGATCAGAGTCCTAGCTTTCCCAGATGTAGCGTGAAAATGCTGGCAGACCTCCAGCCGAGTACTCCAAACACGATAAGAAACAAATGTCCAGATCATTTAAATCTGCAGCAGGACACGGTCTAACATCTTACCACTAAGACATTTGTAACTGTCTTCAGGTAAAAAATAGGACAAATCAGGAAAAGAGCTCACCCAGAAAGGAATGCCTTCCTTTTATGATTGACTATGATTGTGTGTGTGTGTGTACATGCGGGCATCAGAAAACAACTTTTGGGGTTTGGTTCTCTCTTCCTATGGGTTCCAGGAACTGAATTCGGGTGATCAGGCTGGTGGTAAGTCCTTTTACCCACTAAGTGACCTCGCTCCCCAGAAACGCTTCTATGCTTGTAGAGAGCACTGTGCCCGGTAGAAGACTGGTCCCACAGGGCTGATGCCTAAAACAAGTCAATAGCATTTAATGAGGGTTACAACTTCACACTATTTCAGCTGAAGAGGTTAGTGGAAATGTCAATAAAATGGTAAAGAAACCTCCAAGCCACAGGGCCTCAGAAGTTAACAAACAGCCCCTGAGCTGTGGACTGGGAACATCTCAGCTTACAATCAAATTCAAGGTAAACTTAACAGCCACAGATGCTAAGGCTCACCTTATCCTGTAAAAAGGTTCCAGGAACACCTGCAAAGAGAAACTTGTTCTTCACTTTCAACTTGCCCAAATTTGCTACTATCAGGTTATTTGATCTGGAACTTTCTGGGATGAGAAGCACAGGGGCACCAGCCTCAATATCCAGAAGAACCCTGGAGCATCGCTGCGCCTGGTCCCTCACCTGGTGAGAAAGAAAAGTTCCCAGAGACTCAGTTAGTTCTCCAGTCTTATAATCAGACCTCCATGGGGTCCAAAACTCTCATAAACTTATACAGCAATTAAAGAACACAATATTTCATTGGTGGCCACCAGAGGAAATTAGAGTCAAAAAACAAAATAATGGAAAGTCCCCAAATATTTGGAAATTAATTTCATACTTCTAAATAACCTACAGATTAGAGAATAAATCATACGAGAAATGGGAAAAGACTTTCACAATGATGATGAAAATAATATATTAGAGTGTGGGACATGTGTAATATAACAAGGACTCTTACCAACTGCATCATCTCACCAGGCCTATGCTGCTTTTAAATTTGTTTTGTTAGTTTGGTGTTTGTTTCTTTGTTTCTTTGTTCAGTTGGTTTGTTTAAGACAGGGTTTATCCACAGCCCTAGCTGTCCTGGAACTCCATCTGTAGACTACGATGCCACAATCTCAGAGATCCATCTGCCTCTGCCTCCCAATTCTGGGATTAAAAGTTATGTGCCACCACACCTGGCAATGTGTTTTATGCATATAGGTATGTGCCTGAATGTACATATGTACGCTATAGGAGTGCCTGGTGTCTAGGAAGGTAGAAGGGGGCATCAGATTCCCTGGCACTGGAGTTACAGATAGTTCATAACCACTATGTGGGTGCTAGGAACCGAACCTAGGTCCTCTGCAAGAACAGCCAGTGCTCTTAACCACTGAGCCATCTCTCCAGCCCCTCTGTGCTGCTTTTAAGAGAAAAATAACAACCTTACAGTATAAAGCGGTTCTGCAGGTGAGGGGATTCTGGGGATTGAACCTAGTGCTCTGTCACTGATCTACACCCACCAAAGGACCAAGCCCAATATCCCCTAAGAACAGGTTCCTGGGCTCTTTTGGAATGCAGAAATCAAGCTGAACAAGCAAGAGAGTGAACATGCGTGCATCTGTTTCTCTGCTCTTGACCAGAGATATGATGTGAGCAGTTGCCAAAAGCTCCAGCCACTGTGACTTCCCAGCCTTTTATGATGGACTGCAACCCAGAGTATGGGCTAAATAAACCCTTTTCTCCCCGAAGTTGCTTTGTGTTGGGATGTTTTATCATGACAGCACATGCCTGTAACCCCAGGGCTAGGGAGCAGAGACAGGAAAGTAAGTCCTAGTGACGATTTGCTGGCCAGCCACGCTAAATGGAACAGCTAGCTTCAGGTTCATTGAGAGAGCTTGTCTCAAAAACTTAATGGGAAGTGGTTGCATAAGATAACTGATGTCAATTTCTTTTCTTTTCTTTTTTTTTTTTTTAAGATTTTTATTTATTTATTATGTATACAGTGTTCAGCCTACATGTATGCTTGCAGGTCAGAAGAGGGTACCAGATCTCATTACAGATGGTTGTGAGTCACCATGTGGTTGCTGGGCAGCCAGTGTTCTTAACCCTGAGCCATCTCTTCAGCCCCTGATATTAACTTCTGATGTCTATATGTTCCCACATAAGCAAGCATGCATGCATGCACACACACGCGTACATGTGCACACACACAGAGACAGAGAAACATACACATACACACACACACACACACCACAACATTTTACTTTATTTTATTGTTATTCTTTGGATGCCTGTTTTGTTTTTTAACTATATACAGAAAGGGTGTAGATCTAGATGGGAAGAGACTGGGAGGAGCTGGGAGAGAGGAAACCATGATCAGCATATACTCTATGAAATTATCTACTTTCAGTAAAGGAAAGCAATTGTTTTGAAGTTCTATGGCTCAGTCAAATTGAAAAAGCAACTTGGAGACATGATGCTACCCACCGTCTGACCCTCGAGAGCAGCTCGCTGGCGCCCTAAGACATCTTGCAGCTGAGTGAAGTGCTGAATGAAGGCCACCACCTCAGCCTGAAAGCGCTGCGTGTGCACATACTGCACAGAGGCCATCTGGAGGCTCACGCGAATGTCATGCTCTCTCTGGAGCAGAGGATCTGGCTGCCCATATCTGGAAATTAGGACAAAAATAGGACTCAGACATCAGCAGGATTGGAGTATTAGAAGAAAACTAAGGTTGATTTAAGGGTTTCCCCTCCAAAAAGCTTTAGTGTTAAAATGGACACCTCCCCCCACCCCCCGAAACAAGCCTGTTAATAATTTAATAATAAGGACATCAAAATAAGGATGGTGTGGCACACAGGGCTGCCAACAGCAGGCACCACTGAGCACAAAGCTCACCACCCCTCCAGAAAATACCGAAGCCACCAGAGTGCTACCCTTGCACAGCCCCTCCCATCCCTGCTGTAAGAACTGCAGCTGTCCCTGGCAGAGACAGTCACAGTGCAGGTTTGGGAAGTAATTTTAAAAGCCATGGAGAAATGGAAGGACTTGCTTCTGGGAAAAGGGAGCATCTAAAACACAGAGAGGAGTTGCCTTTTTACGTCAGTGAAATGCAAACTGCAATGTTGTGTGTAGAATCAAGGACCAGCAGAGGACTTTTAACCCACCTGGAATCGAATGAACTGTGGTGCCAAGAAAGAAATGATTACACAGGACACAGTCACATTTACCAAGGAATGTACTTTTGAGCCAAGCAGAGAATTAAGGTTCACATTAATTATCTCATTTATTGTAGAACCATGCCATTGTTGTGTATAAAATAAGCAAATCAAACTAAACTCTGAAGTCTGTGCGGCAACCTCACAATGAATAGTTCTCAGACTTGGGGGAGAGTGAGCTACGGGGGTTTGCTAGAGAGTGAACCCACAGCTTTGCGCAAGCTAGCAAGCACTCTACCAGTAAAATACATCCTCAGCCCACACATGGTTTTTGGGAACCACTTTTCTCAGCACTCCAAAAGTGGTAGGGGCCTGAACAGGAGCCTACAAGGTACATAATACCAACATACAACCACATTTTCTAATTCCTCTCAAGAAAGCGGGAAACCTCATCTAGGAAAACCATTCCTTAAAGTAAGCAGACCCCGGCCTAATGACACCTTCTAAAGTCCAGCAGGAATTCAATATAAGTCATACTTATTCATAAAAAGAATACGCTCACTTCACTTAGTGTCAGTAGGACTCTCAGACTAAGTCAGGCGAGAATGCTCAATGCTACGCAGAAGTGTGGAGATTGCTCAGCTCAGGGCCCCATTACAGACTGGGGGAAAGTGGCACACAGAGATTAAATGACTTGCTTTAGGTCACACGGCAAGTTGGTAGGAGCTGACAAAGCCCAGGTCTTCTGATAATTGGGATTATTTCCATCTTTTCCCATATGCTTATGACACTAAGTAATCTCCAATGCAAATCTCTTTAATAAAATTCAGTACTAATCAGGACTCCTCACAAGCTAGATTATTTAAATTTTACTTAGGAAAGTAAAATTTTTCCCCTGCTCAGTCAATAAGAATTTTAAACAGTGAGCTGGCAAAACAGTTCAGTGGATGAACGCTTGCCACCTAGTGACCTGGGTTGGATCCCCAGAACCTACATAGTGGAAGGAGAGAACCAACTCAGCAAGATGTCCTCTGACTTACACACACACACACACACACACACACACACACACACACACACACACACAGTGGGAGACACACAGAAAATAAACACATGTAAAACAACATTTAAAAAGGATTCCAACAGTGACCTGACACACAACAAAGCCCAGAGAGAAGACATGCATGTTTTACTTGAAAGTCTGGAAGATGAGAGCCTCTTCTCCACTCGTGGTAAAGCGTTCTCTGTAGAAGTCTCCATGTGGTGTGAGGTCACTCAGGGACAGGCTACCAATGCTTCCCTGCAAGGCCAGGTCTCCCTCTACAGTGTTAAAATTAGAACACGTTATGACAGACCTTTTCTGAATTGTTTATTATATCTGAATTAAAACAGACGTGCACATGCCTCAGACTTCCATTTTTTAATCAAACTAAATATCAGAGATAAATTTCCAGATGCCAAGACATTTGATGTGCTATGTCTAAGGGTTTCAATGTCAAAGTCTAAGGGAATTGAACGAGTCTAAACAACAAATCTACACAAGCCAGCAACACTGAATACCAGAGGGCACGTCTACAAGGAAAGGAAATCAAACTAAATCGTTTCCAACATGAAGGACCAAATACTGGCAGCTGCAGATAGAAGCAGGGTCCTCTAAGGCCAGACTGCTGGCTAGAAGTGGGAAGGTCTATTCATTGTACTAGGAATAAAAGAACAAGGGAGGAAGTGTCTGTGTCAGCTGCTTAAGCAACACGTGTGGGCTTGCAGTGACTTGATAAAAGAAGAAAACCCGCTGATGCGTGGGGACGATGGTGCTGACACTGATTGGAAAAGAGTCTTCTGGCAGGAGCACAGCCCTGGGGTGAGAGCAGGGAAATGGCTGTGGGCACATGTACTGGAACGTGAGCATAAAATGTTCCTTCCTGCAGGGTGCTGTGGCTGGTGCACGCCTGTAATCCCAGTAATCAGGAGGCAGAGGCAGGTGGATCCCTGGGAGTTGAAGCCTGGCCTGCATAGAAGTTCCAAGCCAGCTACTGAACTATTATCTCTACAGGACAAAACTAATCATAACTTTACACAGCTGTCACCATAATCACCAAGGTATACACCTCTGGCAGGCCAGGTCAGCTCCCAGAGATTCAAAGGTGTATATATACATATATACATATATATATATGTGTGTGTGTATTTATATTATGTAATCATTATATTTATACATAAGTGTAAATTTATTTATATTTATAAGGAAGGATAGTATTTTTGAGCTCATGCTTTATAAACCCTATCACTTAGAACATGGTGTTCTAGTAAGAATTCCAACCTACAAAAGCCCAGCAGGAAGAGGCCAGCTTTGCTACTAGAGTCTGCTGCAGAACACCATGCTCTCTCTTGGCAGCATCCCGACTTAAGAGCACAAACAGAATGAGCTTGTCCCATTTTCAACAGACATCCCTTTGACCTGACTGTCTTCTATATCTACCTATTAATATGTCTCCATTTCACTCTCAAAAGTATCCCAATTTACCTCTGACAGTGGAACCAGGATGTATCCCTGGTGCGCGAAAGGACTTTGGGAGCGCATTCCCCATGGAAGGACACTCCCTTAGCCTTGAGGCAGGAGGGAGGGCCTAGACCCTACTCCAAAAGCCTTGACAGGTTTTTGTTGATCCCTCCTGGAAGGCCTCACCCTCCCTGTGTAGTGGTAGGGGGTGGGGTGGGAGGGGGGTTGGGGGGCATGGGAGGGAGGGAGCGAGGGATAGCTAGGGAACTGGGATCAGCGTGTAAGAAAAAAAAGGGTTGTTCCTCTTATAACCTATTCTTATGCAGAGGAAAAAAGTATCCCAATTTAAACCAAAAAACAAAAAAACAAAACAAAAAACAAACAAACCATGTGGTCACACTACACAGATAGATGCTGGGCCCTTGGATGAGATAGGAGAGGAGCAGGGAGGGGGCTGCACCATTGCCTGCCTTTGTAATAAGACATCCAGACCATACTGCTCCCAAAGCCAGGATTTGGGATCACCACCATAAATGGCTATACCAATACCCACATCAAGCCACAGATGGACGCCTCACTTGGCATGTGAGGACAGCTAGCTTTGTGCCGGGTGTTGGAACACACCTCACTCGGCATGTTTGGTCTTGCCCCACTTACCAATCATCTCCACGTGTGCTACTAATTTGGACACATTTGCTTTAGCCAGCTCACTGGTGGCCTTGCTCAGCACAAGAGAAAGCGAATGAACCTAGGACACAAGGTACAAAGCAAAAGGTCAGTCAATGATGGGAACAGGGCAGAATGGGTAAGAACAGGGACAGTTTGGAAAGGTGAAAGTAAATCTTTTATTATTTATCGTGTGTGTGTGTGTGTGTGTGTGTGTGTGTGTGTGTGTGTGTGTGTGTGCGTGCGTGCGTGCGTGTGCGCATGCACATGCACACACATGTCTGGCGGTCAGAGGGCAATCTGTGGGAATGAATCTTCTCTCCTTCCCCTTCTTCCACTGTGCAGGTTCTGGGAATCCAACCCAAGATAGCAGACACTTATACCTGCTGAGCCTCCTCCCCAGCGCAAACATTTCATGACACCAATTGCATTTGTGCCCAAAGCAGATCTGCTAATCAAGCACATGAGGGAGGAATTCCAATTTCAGCGCCTGTGGCCTCTCCTCTATACTCTTCTGATGGTGGTGACATGCTACATGGTATAAAACGAGGCTCCTCGTCTTAGTATCAGCTGTTAGCAGTGCATAGTACTGTAATGACTCACGAGTCTGTAAGTCAGGTCTCACCTATAAAATCTATGTAGGCAAATGATGAAAATGACCTGAAATCCTGCCAGGTCTCTGTTCAGCAATGGGACTTCAGGGGGACAGGGACAGAGTCCTCTTGTCTCAACAATAGAATTCTCTAACAGGCTGCATTACACTAAAGTAATTCCAACCACTGAAGACACTTATATGTCTAAGAATTTGCTGGGTCAGTCCCAGCTCCTCTGCCTTAGGGGCCAGGCTCTGACAGAAGAGAAGGACCAGGAGGTAGAAGAACATGTGTGCCACACACCCCTTTGTCCTCCAAGTCTTCACACAATCGAACCTCAGGAGTTGTTGGATGGGTACAACGCTCAAGAGAAAAAGGGAAAATGGGAGCAGAAAGGAGGAATAGGACCTCAAAAAAAAAAAAAAAAAGGCAAAGAAAGTGGGCTGAGCACTGTCCTCAGAGCAGTGACCTCAGTCGGAGATGTTATCATTTCTCAAGGCCCCATAGAGAGAGGGAGAGAGAGAGAGAGAGAGAGAGAGAGAGAAGGAAGGAAGGAGGGAGGGAGAGATGGAGGGAGGGAGGAAGGAAGGAAGGAAGGAAGGAAGGAAGGAAGGAAGGAAGGAAGGAAGGAAAAGAAAGAGAGAGTGAGAAATAAAGAAAATGTTCAAAAATTCTTGTCTCAAAAAATGTAGCTCCTACAGCACTGGTCTTTGCAAAGAAGCCCCCAAGAGCACACTACATCTTACCATAGCAGGGAAGGATTCCTGAGGCAGATCCCCACTGGCACCAGGAGAATAAAGTTACCTTTGTAACATATCAAATGCAACCAAAGAGTGACTGAACACCGCCACTTCCAGTCACCTTGCTAGGCCCAATGCCCCAGAGCCTCAGAGTGCAGCCAAGCAGTGTGTTCGCCCTCCCGCTGAGCAAGAGGCAGACATGGCTTTCCCAGACAACTGAGTAAGAGGCAGAACTGTCCCCACCCCCACCCCTCGCCCCCATCTCTCCTCCCAGGTGGGTAAGAAAAGCAAGACAGCACCAACATGGGGTAACAGAGTTCTCACCTGGCTCTCCCAGCAGTACATGCAAGGCCACACGCACCAAGACATGCAGATAAAGACTGTCCTCCCTGGGCACACGGAAGGCACCAGCTGCTGCTGCACAGGTGCCAGAACTCCGAACAGGCCTTACAACTTACAACAGGCCTGTATTGCCCTTCACGGTTCAACTCGGTGTACCTACCTGCTGTCCCTCCCACCATTCACAGCGGACTGCCTTAAATCTAGTCTTCAATGCTATCTTATGGGTTATTTTTTTTTTAATATTTAACATTACAGTCTGAATACAAGCACGGCAATCCATGTCATAATAAAAACTGGATGCCAACAGGCAATCTAGCTTTGCACACTGCGTTCCATGGCACCCTACAGTGAACCCAGTGACAACAGCCTGTGAGAGGGAGGGAAACCAGCAAGAAAGCCATGCACAGAGGCGCAGAGTAGAAACTGCTGCCGTGCCCCTGACTCTTGGCTAGGTGTTTGGCACACGCCCCTCACGTCTTCATAGAAGACGAACAGTGAGGGAACAAGCTAGAGAAACAAAAAGGATTCCCTGGAATCACATGGCCTGGGTGAGACAAGCTGCTTAAACTGCATATTCACTACATATTCTCTCTGCCTCCAGATGGAGTTTACAACAACAAAACCCTTTCCAAGATATCAATGTCTCTAATGTCTATATTTCTCAACAGCCAGACAGAGATTACACAGCCCTCGCCCAATGAGAGCTCTTTTCCAGGAAAAATGGGAAATACTCCCATTGGGATCTGATTCAGACTCATCAGTGTAACCAGCCATATACCTTGAGATCCAGCTTGGAGTTCACTGGCTCCTGGAGCTCAGACTCCACGGAAGCCCTGGCCTCCGACTTCACACTCTGTAGAGGGCCCTCAGGCGGCGTCCGCATGGCATGGTTGTCGGCAGTGGAGCCAATCCCAAAAAAGTCCAGAATCACCACCCAGGTTTGCAGGGTGATCAGCACATCCAAGCAGTTAAAGTCAACGTCGATGCTTCGGTTAATGCGGTTGTAACTGGAAGAGAATTCTGGGTGTTTTTTGTCCACCAAGAATATATTGATGTGGACCAAGGAATCGTCGAATTTGTTTTTTCCAGAAAGCACCTTGGGCTCGTCCACTGTGGGAGAAGGAGGTGGGGTCATAGGGTAGCTCTTGTCCTGAACTTCCTTTTGCTTTTTCCGGGATGTGGAGATGGGTCTTTGATACAACTGGAAGACATTAGGAGCTTCCTCCATGTGGGAAGGGAGAGACCGGGGCATGTCGGGATACTCCACGCTGGACACGGAAGGGCAAGACTGGGAGAGATACTCCTTCTGTGATAAGCTAGATGGCTTGGGAGCCCCTCGAGACACCATCAGGCTCTTATACTTGGAGTCTGGATTCTTCTCCAGTAGGTCTTCCATGAGGAGCGAGCGCAGGGCAATCTGAATGGACAAGGTCTGTGGGTGGTCTTTACTGAACTCCACCTCAAAATCCTGGAACTTTAGGCTCACCAGCCCTTGGGCCCCCAAAGTCAGGTCCCCACTCAGCTGCACCTGCAGCTCCGATATACAGAAGTTGGCTTGAATCTGAGTGAACGCTTTGGCTTCCTTCACAGACAAGGACTTCTGAGAGGTGCTGGAGAAGCTCGAATGACTGAACAATCCGTTCTCCTTCCTCTCCACAGAAGGTTCTCCACAGGAACTGAGTGGAGGCAAGGGCGAGTTAGGGCAGGGGGAGGATGCAGCACTGGTCACAAACTTATTCAGATCTTCGCTGTACACAAGGTTGTCCAGCGTCTGTAAAACCTGCTCATACACGTGCTTGGCTAATACCACCTGCATTCAAAGAGAACAACCCAGTTACTCCAGACCACCTTTTTGAATGTATTTGTAATTTTGTGTATGGGGGTATACAGGAGCACAAGTGCCCATGGAGGCAGAAGAGTCAGGACCCACCCACCCCCACCCCCGACACACACCACCTCACCTTACAGGCAGCCCACCAGCATGAATGCTGGGAACCTAACTGGGGCCTTCCAGAAGAGCAGTAAGTGACCCTAGCCACTGAGCCACCTCTCCAGTCCCCTCCAACACTATTCTTACCATAGAGCCTAAACTCCCGGTTGGTACTTCTGTTTCCCAAGAAGCTTTACATTAGCTGGCATCAAAGACCATCATTTCTTTTATGTTCTTTCCTCCTTCCGTCCACCTCCATTAACAAGGCTCTCCCTAGCCCCTTGCAAAATAACCTACAGACACCAACATGCAATGAGCATTCCTCGTATGCTCCAGTCAGCAAAGCCACTCTTTCTAACCACACAAAATAACTGCAGAAAGCAAGAAGGAGACTTCCAAGGGTCTAACGTTGGGCACAGCCCAGGACTGACAAACAAGACTTTTAGAACAGTGCTCATCTGCAATTATATGTTTTTCCTTGGTTTCCGCTGTTGGGGCTGGGATGGGACCCAGAGCCCTATGCACGATAGGCAAACACTGTCATGGAGCTGCACCCCCGGCTTCTTAGTCTCTTTTAGTTAGAATTTCTTATTTAAAAATATTTTCAAGTACATCTTTTTTACTAATTAAGGGCAATTAACAGAGGGATTCCAACTCATAGACACAGAAATTTTGACAGACTTGGAAAGTGACCGTTCTATAACCCCTAATTTAATCTTCATCCCCACAGAGTTCATTAGTGAAATGAAGTAACAGAAATGACTGACAGGGAATTTTGCAAGTGAGAGATCAGGCTTTTCCACCTACACACCCTCATCAAATGCAGACACTGTGTGACAGATATAATATAACCGGAGGTGCATGACAGCACCTGTGAAGTTCTAGGCAAAGAGAAGCAGAGCCAAGGAAAGACCCAGAATCCAGAGAAATCCGTGTAGCTCATGGCAGACACACATTCAGAAAGACACAAACAACAGCCAGTATACCATGGACGACATCCCATAGGCAACTGACCAGTGACCACACAAAATTATAGCATGGCAGATAGGGCTGGGCAGATCCAGAGAGACCTAAAGACACAACATCTAACTGCAATCTGCAGATCTTGCTTGGATCCCATTGCAAACAAGCCAAAGCGAAGACATTCTTCAGAATCAAAAGCCATTGCAATACACAAGACGACACACAGTTCAAAGAAACACATTTCAAATATACAAGATGAAGTGAAATAAGTCTGGGATTTGCCTTGTAATGTTTGTTTGTTTGTTTGTTTGTAACGTTTGTTAATCTTATGTGTGCAGAGCGTGTTAGAGTCACAGCACAATCTTACGAAGCTGTTTTCCCCTCCCACCTTGTGTAGGTCCCAGAGATGGAACCTGGGCCATCCTGCTCTCACAGCAAACCCTTTACCTGCCACCTGCCCCAAAATATTTCATTTAAAAAACAAAATGAGCCTAGTACTAGAAAATAGAAACAGGAGAATCAGACATTCATAGTTTTCCTCAGCAACATAGCAAGTTAGAAGCCAACCTGGGCTACATGAGAACCTGTCTCAATAAAATAGGGACAGGGGGACTGGAGAGATGGCTCAGTGCTTTAGAGTACTGGATACTCTTACAGAGGACCCAAGTTCAATTCCCAGCACCCAAACCCTCAACCATATGTAACTCCAGTCCCAAGGGATTTGATGACCTCTTCTGGCTTCTGTGGGCACTGGGCACACATGTGGTACACAGACATGCATACAATAAATAAAACACCCATACATACAGAAGAAAAAAATTTAAGTGTGTGTGTGAGAGAGAATGAGAGACAGAGACAGAGAGAGAGCTGGGGGAAGGTTTCTCACCCCAAGACCCACACCTAGGAGTCACTGACACCAACAGAGATAGATACATGTTCGTGGGTTACTTCAGAGCAACTGAAAGACAAACTCATGACCCACGGCAGCCTGACAGAGGGTCAACTGTCCTAAGATTCGGAGTACATGTGTTTTCTAACCTTTCCTAGTCCTATGAAATCTGAAAGGGGGAAAAAAAAACAACATATGAAAGAGACATACACAGTTCGCAAACACACACACACACACACACACACACACACCTGTGTGTGTCCCATCTGGCTCAATTCAATCCAGAGAGGGCAAGCCTAACTCTATTGAAAGGATCTGTCAATGGTCAAATCACACTGTTCTATAGTCTAGACCAAGTGTGTCCCGGGGGAAGGTGGGGTGAGAATTACATCCCCCTGGGAAAGAGCAACTGGCTTTTGGGCATGGAATCAGAGATCCACTCTCTTCCCCTGTGGCACAGGAAGAGAGCCACCGCCCAGGGGTCACATGACAAAAGGATCCCATGTTGCTGTGGGGATCCCAGTACCTGAGAGGCTGCGTCAGGAGAATTATGAATTTAAGTCAGCCTGGGCTACAGAGCTGTGCCTTGTCTATTAGAACAAGTCATCAACAACATGAACATGCATTGATGGTTATTTCCTTGAACCTACATATTTTCCTTCTAATGCTTAATATACATAAATATACACACATAATATATACCATATATACATAAAATATACATAAATATGTACCATTATAATCTGAGCATTATATACAATATAAATATAAAATAAATACAACACTGAGCTGAAGAGATGACTTAGCAATTAAAAGCACTTGTAGAGGACCCAGGTTCAATTCCCCGCAACCACATAGTAGCTCACAATCATCTATAACTCTAGTTCTACACAATCAGGCACCTTCATCTGGACTACTTGGACACCAGACACATACACGGTGCACTCCATACACACAAACACACACACACACAAAACAGCCACACACATAAAATAGAACTGAAATAAACAAAGGCAAACTATATGTCCCTAACCTGAAATTCAAATACCTGTGAAATCTGAAGCTTTCTGATAGCTGATACAACATTCAAAGGTTTCCAACTTAAGACCATTTCAGACTTCAAAGATCAGAGATGCTTGACTGATCATAAGGGCTTATAAACGTCCTGAATGCGCTCAGTTCCAAAAGCTAAAATGCATCAGGTCTCCGGCATCTCAGACAACAAACACAACCTGATTGGCTCTCAGCTGCCCTGACCTGATAATCAATCCTGTGTTAGTTTACCTGAACTGGGTTGACAAATTTTCCTTCAATCTTCATGATGCTGGCTGTCCCCAGGTCATCTGGACTGAGGGAGAAAGTCAGCTCAGACTCTCTCTCGATAGGGATCTTCTCCAGTTTAAACTGGATGGTGGTATTGTTGAGGATATGAAAGGCTGGCAGAAGGGAACAAAATGACAGGCCATCAACACTACTATCTGGTTTGTTACTGATGATCAAGTGTCCTGTATATAAAATAAAGCCCAGGGGTTATCTGATGGTGGGCCTGGCAACTGAGTCTATGACTGAGACCAAAAGTCACAGCAAGCAGAACCTCAAGACAAGTTTACACGAGGGGAAAAGAAGATATTTTCATGACATTTTCTGCTTGGCAGCTTCAAAATATGAAATAATAGCAAGGCAGGCAAAATGGCTCAAAGGGTAAATTAGAGCACTTGCTGCCAAGTCTGATGACCTCGTTTTCATCTCTGGAACCCCCATGGTTAAAGGAGAGGACCAACTCCACGGGGTGTCGTATGACCTCCACACACAGCAATGTACCATGTATGCATGTGTGTTATATATGCATACACACACGCACACACACACACACACACACAACAAATAAATGTAATTTAAAATGTGTGGATGGGAAACACTAAGAGTCAGTCCACGTACTGCCTTACATTTCTCTTAGCCATCAAAGCCAGTTTTCCAAACCTGACTGCCTCCTTCCTTAGCTTTCAGAGATACACACAGCCTTCTCATTAGACATCGTTCCAACTGAACGCTTCATAAGAACTGTGTGCTAAGCGTGGAGAAGAAGGAGTAGCCAAGCACAGGCATGAGTTTCCTCACCAATAAACAGTCTCTGGGACTTCCCTCAATCTGTAGCTGGACTGCTTGGGTCTAACCGTCCGCATCCAGAACACAATCATAAAAACACCATTCCTCAAACGTGTAAACATCATCCGTCCTTGAGTCCCGCACTGACCCAAGGAGAAAATGGCAGAGCAGTGAAAGGGTGCAACCAGAGGCCTTTCCTGTTTCCAGTAACCCTCGCGCTACCTTAGGCTGCAATATCTAACTAGGAAAATACAACTTAGAGCAAAAGAACAGAAACAGTATACAAAACGAGGTCACACTACATCCATCCACTGGAGCAGCTCTGGGAAGGAGCACTCCACCAACTTCAAGGGGCAACACTTCAAAGTACATCCATTTGTTTTCCAAGACCAGGTTTCTCAGTGTAACAATCCTGGCTGTCCTGGAACTTTCTCTGTAGACCAGGCTGATCTCGAACTCACAGAGATCCACCTGTCTCTGCCTCCCAAGTGCTGAGACCAAAGGTGTGCACCACCACCGCCCGGCTCAAAGTACATTCTTAATTTGTCCAAAGAGACAGTAAAACCATGTCAGCCTTCCATGACGCTGTTAAAACACCACTATGACTTTTTGCGCCTCACCCAGAGGTAACGCTACGAAGGGCTGGGTTGTTTTTAGGGACAAGTATACAGGAGCTGGGTTGAGAACCTTTACACACACTGCTTCTCACCTTGGCCTCTATGCAAAGATTCAAAGAAATCATGTCGTGTGAAGTGAGCCTCCTCCTGACTGTTGGCACTGGCAGACCCAGAGGGTGGGTAAAACGTCCGGCTGACTTCAGGCCCAGCACCGTCTCTGCCTGCCAGCCGAGTGCAATTCAGAGAATAGAGTTTAATGTCTTTGATTTCCACCTGCAGCCGGTCACTTCTGGACTCATCATCTCCTGCCACAAAATTCTGGATGAATATCTGTCCCAAGTGTCCCACCAGCAACTCGGGACTCCCAGGCCTCCGAGGGATAGAAACAACTGGAGACTCGATGTTTATATTCAAGATGAGCTTCACAGTGTCCGACCGAGGGGAAGGCAGGCCAAACCCGTAGATTTCGTTCTCCTCCAAGACAAAGGGTTCCCGGGTCTTCTTCGGGGTTTCGAAGAGTGACACCATCTCGCTGTACTCGGCAGTCTTGGTGGCTAATACTGTGGTGACTTTGGTGGCTGCACTTTTCAACATACTGCGAAAATTCTCTTCCAGCTCATCCATGGACAGTGTCAGCTCCTTCAAGAATTTAGGGGAGTGGTTATAGTGCAAGGATGCCATCTTGAGGCTCAGAAAACACTCCTGCTTTGATTTCTCAGCAAATGTGAACCCCAAAGCTTCTGTCAGAGCTGCATCTTCCGTCCTGACGAACACGCTTTCAAAATAGCCAATGTCGCTGACAATGTTCTCGTAGCCCACGGAGTTTCCGATGCTGACGACATATTGGTTCTTCGTGTTCTCTTGTGTCAGATCCATGAGTTGCAAACAGCCGAGGGAACCGCTCATGTCAAATGAGCTGCCCATCGACAAGTTCACTTTGGTGCCACCAATGCTGGCCGTTGCAATTTTCCTGCCCTGCCTCTCCCCATCGGCCATCCCCACTGTCCGGAGCAGCAGGAGGTTGAGTCTGTGGATCTCCACAGCGACCTCAGTGTTCTGCTCATAAGTCGACTGCATCGTGCCCTGTTCTCTGAAGTTTCTTTCAAGGTCAGCCATCAGAGGCTGAGGGCTCATGTCATCCTTCTCCTTAGGGAAGGATTTTTGAAGAAAGCCAATGAGCTCCACAATTGTCTCTGGGTTTAAGATGATATCCAAGTTATTTACCTGCAGGGAAATCACCTGCAGTGTACTGTCCAAGTTCATGGATGGGCACTCTGAACTCACAAACTGATACTCCAGTTTAATGAGGGACTCTTGTTCTTTGGAGAGAATTTTCTCCAGGGAAACACTAGTGGCCGATTGGTTGTTGAGGGCAGCCACGTCAGTTAGGAAGGCCACGTTAGACCCAGGGACAGGAGACTGCGCCCTGCTATCCCGGAGGCTTCCTGTGGGAATATCAAAACTCAGGTTCTTGTGTGAAGCCATCAGAAGGTCAAAATCAGCACCATAAGTCTGCATGGTGTCCACCAGGAGCAGCCCGTGAACAGTCAAGGAGACTTCAGCATCATATGGCCTCTTCACGAAGTGGGCGTTGGTGCCAAACACTTTGAGCACGGAGATGTAGCGGCCACTGCTCTCTACACCAAGCTGCATGCAGTTCACCTTGAATTCCGCTAGGAGGAGCTGTGACTCCACCAGCACCTCCCGTGTGTGCTGCTCCAGCATCACAATGCTCTGGGTCAAGTTCATTACTGAATCCTGCAAGCTTCCCCTCGGTCCTTCCTGGGGGAAAATCTTCTCTCTGATCTGGGTGTCAGAGGGTTTCACTTCGGATGTGGTGAGAAGAGCAAAGCAGTTCTTTAGAGCAGATATCTTGTCTTCATTGACGTGGATTTTTAAGTCTGGTAAGTTGCCTGAGAGCACAGCCCCTGGGTACTTGGGGTCTGATGTGTAAATCAGCCGACGTTCTAACTGTAGGTGGACATTGAACTTCTCCACCACGTGTGTTGGCCCCACATCGATGTCCTGCACACGCTTCCAGTTGTCTCTCACACGGCCCACCATGACCTGGAGGTCCATGAACGTCAAGGAGTACCTCTCATACATCTGTGTGCTCATCAGATGAGCCTGAAGCTGCTCCTCGCTGAATTCCACTCTGGAAAAGGGCGGCGTTTTCTCCCCGTTGCTGCTCGTGGGCTCTGGAGGTGGGGTGCTGGGAGGTGTGGCAAGGGGGGTCTTATATTCATCGTCACTGAACTGATTCTCTTCAGAAGCTGACCCATCCCCACTTTTCCTCCTAGAATCTTCCAGAAGGGAAAATGAAAAGACAGTAAGTAAAATGTTTGCTATTTCCTCCCTCCCTCCTTCCCTTATTACAGAAAGGAGGGCTGAAGAGACAGCTAGGAGCTCAGGAGCATTTTCCCAGCATCCGCATGACAGCTCACGACCACCTGTAACTCCAGTTCCAGGGCCTCAGATGCCCTCTCTGCCCTCTTCAGGTTCATACACACATATGGTTCATATAAACTCATATAAATATGTATTAAAAAAATAAAATTTAAAAAGAATCTCAACAAGTTGGAGACACAGATATAAAACCCTGAACTCTACCATAAGAAATACTTCAGTCCTTCAGAGGCAGAGGCAGACAGACATCACTCTTAAGTTCAAGGCCAGCCTGGTCTACACAGTCAGTTCCAGGCCTTTACCAGGCCTAAAGAGTGAGACCCTGCCTCAGATGACAGAGGTGATGATGATGATGACAATGATGACAATCCCAGCACTAGGGAGGCAGAGGACCAGCCTGGTCTACAGCGCTAGGTCCCTGTCTCATAAAACCAAAACTTAATAACAACAATAATAATAATGAAAAAGAAAGCTTCCACCAAGCTGAGATTTTTCTGAGTGGATGAAAATGTCAGGAATAACACTGTGTATCTTTGTACCCTGACACTAACAGGGCTGCTCACACAACTCTCCCATGGCGCTCTGCAAACTTAGACACACCTCCCTTTGTTGTAGTGTTTGTTCCTCTTCTATTCTTGTTCTACACAATGTCCTTGTCTGGCACGGAAAGGTGGAAGGAGAAAACCAACAGCACAAAATTTTCCCTAGCTGCCACAAATGCAATGTTGATGTGTGTGTGCGCACACACCACCACCAACAGCAGCAGCAGCAACATGGATGAACCTTGAAAGTACTCAATTAAATTAAAAAGGCAAATATTCCACAAGCATGAAATGTTTAGAACAGATAAACATATAAGGATTAAAAAAAAAAAAAAAAAAAAAAAAGAGCAAGGTTGGTTACAAAGAAACAAAGCAGAGGGAAGAGAAGTTAGGGGCTGCCACTGGGTTTAGATTCAGCCTGGCTGAACAGGACATTTTGAAATGTGAATTGTATCTCCTTAGTACTAAAGAAGCAACCCATGAGCCTGGCAGTGGTGGTACATACTGTTAATTCCAGGACTCCAGAGGCAGAGGCAGGCAGAGCTCTGTGAGTTCAAGGCCAGCCTGGTTCACAGAGCGAGCTCCAGGACAAGATCCAAAGCTACACAGAGAAACCCTGTCTCAAAAAAACAAAAAGAAAGAGAGGGAGAGAGGAAGAAAGGAGAGGAGGAGGACAGAGAAAAAGAGACGGCAACAGCCTAAACCAAAGGGATGGGTTGGTGGACTCTGAACTTTGGAGGTTTTTATTTGGTTTTTGCCCACATGCATGTCTGTATACCACATACACGCCTGGTACTCATAGTGGTCAGAAGAGAATGTGGGACCCCTAGAACTAGAATTAAGGATGGCTGTAAGCCACCATGTAGCTGCTGGGAACTGAACCCAGGTCCTCTGTAAAAGCAGCAAGTGTTCTTAACCACTGAGCCACCTCTCCAGACCCCAAACTTCAGAGTTTAAAAATGTTATGAAAACCCCTGCCCAGCTTTAGTTGGTGATGCTCTCAGACCAGTGCACTGAGACAGGTCTTTGCGACCTTACACTGACACTCTACCTTGGGTGTTGGTCAGGAGCATTCTTCCAAGATCTAAAACAACCAGCACAGGATTCTTGAAGGTGAAATCATCTGGAAATATCACCTGAGGGGCAGAAATGTCCAGCCGAACAGTCCACCGCTTACTTTCCTCCTGTAAAGGTAAAATAAAACTCAGTTGTAAGCCAGCTGTAACCCCAGAACTCAGGAGGCAGGAGGACCAAGGTTCAAGGCTAACCTGAGCTACTCCATTTTATCACTGCTAACTGTGACTGCCGAGCAGTTTTCTGGAGGTATCTAAACATTCCTGAAACCCCAGCCAGGATGCCAGTCCTCAGGACTATAACACAACACACTTACACTTGCTGGCTGGCAACATTACCATAGTTCAATGTTTGAAATAGAGAGAAAAAATTAGCAAATTACTAAACCGAGGAGTTGTTTGTACTGATTGATGATCCATAGGGTAAGAGGGCTTAATACTTTGTAGGATCATAGAAATCATGAAATACAAATTAAAGTTGAAATCAGAAAACTTTTATTTACTTATAGACACTGGTAATCATGAACTTTTACCAGGCAGCACTTGGGAGGCAGAGGCAGGTGGATCTCTGTGAGTTCAAGGCCCGTCTAGTATACAAAGGTATACAAAGAACAGCCAAAGCTGTTACACAAAGAAACCCTGTCTTGAAAAACCAATAAGTAAATAAACAAACAAATAAGTAAACTTTCATGCTAAAGTATCTTGAGGGAAATATATATACTTTCTAATATTTGTAACAGAAATAATACAGCAAGTCATGAATTGGTACATTGTTCTTTCTGATTAAAACTGGCTTTAATTACATGTATGTATGTAGTAAAGGCTAAGGGAAAACCTACTACTATTATTCTGCTAAAGGAACACAGCAATAAAATGACCCCTAATGTCACACTGTACCATAGTTTCGGCACATCACTGAACCCTCACCAGAGAAGATTCTTTTTGCATAGATGGTAATTAACACTGAGACCCACAACTGGACAGTGCAAAAAAGTGAGAGACTTTGGAGCATCCAACCCTAGAGAAGATGCCCTTCCCTAAGACTCAAGGGTCTCTGTGAAGGAGGAAGCAGAAGAAATATTGTATAAGAGATAGAAGTGGTGGATGGCTGCAAGGAAACAGATTCCCAGGCACAGCAGGACTGGTATCCATGGGAACACACAGAGACCATGACAGTACCCACTAGACCTGCCTGCACAGGTTGAAACCAGACAAAAGCCCATCGCTGAGATGTCCCACCCCCCAAACAAGGAGCTGTTTGCAACTGATGCTTGCTGGGAATGGAATCAGTTTTCTCTAGTGGAGTGTCACTGAGTGTCTATCACCCACTCCACAGTGGTTCATGCCCAAGAGCAGTAACCCAACACAAAGCAGACTCCATGGTGTGTGTGTTTCTTTTGTCTTGTCTTGTCTTATTAGGTTGTTTAATTTTCATTTGTTGGGTTTTATTTTGTTTTGAGATAGAGAGAAATAACAAAGTTAGATGAGTAGGGATGTGGGGAGGATCTGGGAGGAGTTGGGAGAACGAGAAATAATATGGTCAAAATATATTATAGGCAAAAAATTTAATACAAATTAGAGAAAAAAAAGAAAGAACCCTCTTTTTTGAAGATAACAGGAAAGCACTGATAGCTATAATTGATGCTGAAACACACACACACACCCCACAGGAAAACAAGATTAATACCCCCACCACAAGTCCTTAGGCATTTGACCTGGAACATCACTGCCAACCTTCTATCTACAACTGGTTCTACAGGGGTCTCAGAGCCACACTTGTCTAACAGCACCATCTAATGTCATGCCCAGGCAGTGCATTACCATGCCCATAGTCAGAAACTGCCTTTCTGGACAATTAAGCACTTCTTGGTTCTCTATCCACACAAAGTCACCACCACAAACCAAGCACTGTTCTACTGAAAGTATAATAATAGTAAGAAGAAGGTTCTTATGTGAACTATTGGTAGATTAGTTTTGAAGACGCATCCAGGCAAGTCTATAAAGTACCCTCAGAGCAAAGAAACCATGATCTGGTCAGCATTATTCATTTACTTAATTTAACCACTAATGGAATGCTGGGAGGTGGTAGCGCACACCTTTGATCCCAGCACTCAGGAGGCAGAGGCAGGTGGATCTCGGTGAGTTTGAAACCAGCCTGGTCTACAAGAGCTAGTTCAGGCCATCCTCTCAGAAAAACAAAATGGAAAAGACATGGGCTGTTGTTTTACACTAGATATAATTATGGATTTCCTTCTTTTGGGGGGGGGGGTTACCTAGTTGGCATAACTGATACGATCAAGTTTATCTACTACAGGTCATAAACTTGTCAGAAATTATGGTCACCTCTCCTGTCCCCAAACCAAATCACACAAAGCTACTTACAATAAAATCTCCCACAAGCAACCGGTCAAGAGTCTGTCGGATCTCAGCCTTGGTCTGCATCTTCAGCTTGTTATATTGTCTTCGAGCAGCTTCAGCTACCCTCAACTCAAGCTCAGACTGATAACCAAAACCTGCAAGATTGGAAAGGCACAAGACGTCAGAACTTGCAAGTAACTAGGCCAATAAAACAGTCACTCTGCTCTCACCCAGAATCTGTGGCCAAAACAGCTCTTTTTTTGCTTTGTTTTGTTTTGCTTTGCTTTGCTTTTGAGACAGGGTTTCTCTGTGTAGCCTTGGTTGTCCTGGAACTTGCTCTGTAAGCCAGGCTGGCCTCAAACTCAGAGATCCACTTGCCTCAGAGATCCAAGTGCTGGGATTAAAGCATGCACCACCACTGCCCAGTTAAAAACAGCTCATTACTCTGAAATGGCTCACTATACGACATCCAGGAGAAGGCAAGAGGGAATGGTGGACAGCCTTAAGGGCATGGGAGGTGCATGAGGGAAGGCCACCTAACTTATTAGCGTCCCTAGAAACATTTCTGAAAACTCCAAACTACTGTACTTCAAAATCATTATAAAGCAAAATATTGTATTGAAGGGAAAATGTCAGCCAGGTCACACATAACTATTGTTGATATGAAAAGCCTCACAACTTGTTAAAAGACTAAAGAGCTTCACAGTGAGCAAGGAGGAAAGAGGCAGAGTCTGTTTAACAAGACTCCCTGTTGTTCTCTAACTACCTCAACCTCCTTGGGAATTAAAGGAAGTCATAAGTGCACCAACACTGATACTTAGAGCCCTACAGTCTAAATCAAGTGAAAAACAAAACAAAAATAGATGCTGCCATCTAGAAAAAAAATCATCAAACATTCTACCTCAGACCATCAAGTTAAAACATCCTGGCTGACCAAAGAGACTGCTCTCCCAGGATGAAGGATGAAAAGGTGCATCCTAAAGGGACATGGGAAGGACACCGGCAAAGGACACTGACTCTGTATCCACACACAATCCTGCCACTCGTACAGCAGCTCTTGCCGCAATACCAGGTCATCCAAACGCATTACAATCTCGTCCAGAGCACCAGCAATGACCCAAAAGGAGATTTTTTTTTTCCAAAGGTAACATAGGATCAAACAAACAAAAAAAGTTAACCTGAGGTATGAACCTTTCCCTTGTAGAAAAAGTCTGCCACTTTTTTAATAGCCTGTGGGTTGTAGATGATGTTCAAGGGCCTCGTGCTGACATGTAGCCGCCTCTCAAATTGGCTGTGCACTGGGTTCCTCTCATAGAGCATCTCAAAGACTGGATTGTCTGGGTCTGCAGCTAAAGGAAAGAACAGAAGAGTGGAAAGCAGCAAAAACAACCACCATACCCATACAAGCCTGCAAAGCATTCTGGGAAAAAAGATATTTTCTAAATTCTTTCTAGTCGGTTCACAATTATGCAGATTTCCAAAATAAAGCTGAATGAGGACTGAGTCTAATTTTTAATAGGAATCATGACAGCTAGGCTACTGTATTTATTCTCCTAATGCAAACCAAGGCCCAGGAGCCTTGCAAAGCTACTCTAGTGACACCAGAGGAACACAGTCCCACTTGGAGAGTACCAGACTGCCTCCCTGCACAACATGGTTCTACCTGGCAAACCACTATGTACACAATAGAAATCAAAGGCTGCTGAGCAGTAATAATGATTTCTTTTAAGGATTGGTTTTAAGAACAAATGAAAAATTACCAGGGTATTGATCATGTCTGTCTGCCGATGCAGTTTGAAGGCCAAAAGACTGTGAGACTCTGCCAACTTCTTTCTGCTATTAAACACAGACAAAACAGGCTTCAGTGGGCAGGGGGGGACAGTGCACTGTCCCTTCCCCTTGCACACCTTGCCTTGCACACATGACTCAAAACCCCTTCACACCGAGTTTTACCACATCCATGCACTACTGGGCCATTTGCCTGAGCAGACAATATGCTGTGTGGTACCCAGTGCATCTAAAGAATTGTCAATGCATATTAAGTATTGATAAGCTTTTAAACTTTAAGTCCACCCTCCCACACTCTCTAAGAACATTCAAAAAGTATGGAATGGACAGAGTGAATGGGTAAATATTCAGCTATTTAGACTATATCTTTGACAGCTTAATAGGACTGACGATCCCAGAGCTGGTAAAGAATATTACATATGAAACTGAACACATATAAAAGACTTAAGACAGTTCCCTTTTGGATTCCTGGAAAGATGAGATTTCACATTAACAGTAGGTTGTGAGTATAGCTGTTAGACATGAGAAAGACTCAAGTGTTAGCCTGAATGCAAACAGCAATGGTGATCCTGGCTTTATTCCCAGGTAGACAATCACTTCCACAGTGGCTACAGCATGGAGAGGAAACAGGCAGTCACACAGGTCACCAACATTTCCCCTCCAACAAAGTCAACAAAGGTCCTAGTTCCACTGTCTCCAATGATCAAATGTCAACATCAACCTGGTTAACAGGACTTCTGATTTCCTAAAACAGACATGATATACCACCACCCAGATGTGCTAGCCACACCTCTGCAATACACACTGACACCCACATGTGCTGGTCCCCACATTACAATACACACTGACACCCATATGTACTAGCCATGCCACTGCAAGACATACCGGATTAGGGAAGACCAGGAGAGGAAACATGGTTCCTTCCGTAGCCAGATCTCGGAGGAACAATCCACCCAACCGGACTAAAAGCAAGGAGGAGTTTCTTCGAGGAAGAGACTCTGCTAGAAGTTTGACATCTATAGAAGATAAACAAAAGAGATGGTATTATGACCCAAGGCCTAAGGTGTTTTATGCCTAGAAATAGTAGATATATTTTACAGAGAACTATTTGACACTAGGAAGTAAATTTTCCATGAAATTTGAACACACACATGCATGCATACACACACACACACACACACACACACACAAATGCCCAGTCCACTTGTGGGTGGCCCTGGGTATATAAGAAAGCAGACTGAGCAAGCCAGAAGGAATAAGCTAGCAAGAGATGTTCCCCCATGGCCTCTGCTTCAGGTCCCGCCTCAGGTTCCTGCCTTGATTTCCTGTGACGACCATCCTCTCCTCCCCTAGTAGAGTTTGGTCAGTGTTTTCATCACAGCAATAGAAACCTAACTAAGACAAATCCCTTGGTGACCTCATGACATGGGTGTTGGGGACCAAACTCGGGTCTCCTGCCAGAGCAGTGTGCACTCTTAGCTCTGAGGCATCTCTCCAGCCCCAACTTTTCTCACAGACGCTAACTGCCATGGGTGATGAAAACAGATGGCCTGTTGACTCTAGAGGCTCTCGGCAGTACCTGAGAACTCAAGCTGCATGAACGCGCTCTCGCTGGCATGAGCAGCACCCTGCTCCTTGTGCAGGAGAGTCACCGTGCCCCGCTGGAGCTGCACGTTCAGTTTGGCAAAGACGTGATCTCGCTTTGTGTAGGTGTTCATACACGAGGCATCCACAGTGGGGTCAAAAAACTCCTCGGTGCCTACAAGGCAAGGGAGAACGAGCTTAAGAGAAAACATGGAGATCAAAGAGCAAGACACCCTGACTGAGAAGATGCTGCTGAGCCAGGTTTCCCTCCTTCCGGCAAGAACCCAAAGACATGGGGACTATAGGACAGCGGCTACCACCCACATGCGGCTACCAGGCAGCACCACACATGTGGCCAATTCCGCTAGTGCAATTTAACTTAAACAGTCCCTTGTTTGTATGGGCTCACAGTGGCAGCACAGGACTACAGTAGGCCTCTAGACTGGAATCAAGTCACAGAATGTTTGTGAGCAAGCTCAGATTTAGTTCTCTGACAACGGCTGCCACTCACATCTGTCCGAGTGTCCTCCCTCTACCTCTGCATAACAGGCTGCTGTCCAAATGTCGTCTCCCTTGGTTAAGTCTAGAAATGACCTCTCAAGCTGTTGCACAAAAGCAGGACATTTAGCGCCTAACCCTTCACTCTGGCTGAGAGAGCGGGTGCAGACAGACTCCCAACGTACCCAAGATCTCTTCAGGGGTCCAGTGCTCATGTGACTCGGCTGGCAGTCCCTCCACTGCCTTCCCCTCAGGGCTCTGCTGTCCATACCAGCCTCCCCACCCTGGAAACCAGGACTGCAGGTACTGGAGCATCCCACTGCCTCCGCTGGCGTCCGGGTCACCAGGTGAGGCTCCTGGAGAATCAAACTGAGGCTCTCGAAGACTCTGTAATCACAAAGAGGCAGATATGAAGACCTACAGACAGATGTGGGCTGGGCTGTGCCATTGGTTGCCACTGCCATGTGTCCCACACAAACGTGAGCATATTGATACTATAGTGAAGGGCTCAGAGTGCGCTGGGACCCAGTGACCCCTCCTAAACAGACTCCTCACCTCCGCTAGCTCCTCCTGTTTGTGAAATCGGTCATGAACCAGTTCTCGCAGAATCTTCAGTTCCTCAAAGCTCTGTTCCTCCTCAATGCGACACATCTCCTCCTGTTTGGGACAAAATGAAACCCGGACACTGCAGAGCTGCAGGAAGTGAGAACCTTCACACCAGGTGGTGGCGCACACCTTTAATCCCAGCACTAGGGAGGCAGAGGCAGGTGGATCTCAGTGAGTTCGAGGTCAGCCTGGTCTACAAAGCAAGTTCCAGGACAGCCAGAAATGTTACACAGAGAAACTCTGTCTCAAAAAAAGAAATATCTAAAAAGAATAAATAAAAGTCACAATACATTGTATGAAATTCTTGCCAGGTGTTGGTGGTGCACGCCTTTAATCTCAGCACTTGGGAGGCAGAGGCAAGAGGATCTCTGCCAGTTCGAAGCCAGCCTGGTCTACAGAGCGAGTTCCAGGACAGGCTCCAAAGCAATACAGAGAAACCGTGTCTCAAAAAACAAAAAACAAAAACAAAAAGAAGTGAGCACCTTCATCAGTACACTAGCCCCAACACCTCCCTGAAGGTGAGAATCAGTAACCATTGACCAACACCTTGGGAAGCTGCCTCTGGCTTACAAGGGGTCCCCTACAATTCAGCAGAGGTTACTTGTTCTCAAAGAACCCCTAGAGCTAGTGGGAGCAGGCAGAACAATGAGAACACACTTGGGGGGGGGCGTGGCTGCCGAGTCACCCTCTCACACAGCGCTGACACAGTCACAAGCCACATTATCATTCACTGTCCCCACCTTCGAAGAGGAAGCTGAAGGCCCAGCTCACACAGTATGGGTGATCTGGCACTAGCTCTCATCTGCACAATTAGCAAGGGTGTGGTCATTTCCACGTGCTTTCCACTAGTTAGTAAACCGCAGTAGTGACAACTATTCTGTCATTTTCTTTTTTAAGAGAGTAAGATCACCCACCCTAAATAATGCCTTGTTTGCTAACATTAGAAGAACACATTGACAGCGCCTGTCCACAGCTTACAGAGCTGCTGCTACTTGGCCACCTCAGCACTCACTCAGACTCTTGCTTGTAGTACCCTGACTTTGCCTTCAAGAAAAGCAATCAGAACATCTATCTATCCTTTCCACAAGGTGCCTATTGTTGGTAGCCATGTCAGACACCGCTGAAGACAGCAATAGGCGGGTGAGGGCCATGGCCTCAGCATGCTGGCAGGACGGGCCCTGGGGACCATCCAGGGAAGCACTGTTCCTTTTTGTTCACAAAGGTCCCCTAGAGGAATAATCCATTAGAAATTACCCGAACCAAAACACAAAGAACACTCTGAGCCATTCTCAAAGGCTGGACAGTTAAGGGTTAAAATAAAGCATTCTCACTGCCTTCCCTTTCCCGGGGGCGGAAGGGGTGGGGCCAGGACAGGGATCCAGCAGGGCTGCTTCTAGGTGTCTAGCCTAGAATAACTCAGACAGGCTAACAGCCCTTCTCCCCTCTGTCACCCACTCTGGCTTCTCTTCTACCACCAACAGTCAGCCGAGGCAGCTAGGATTATAGAATATGTAGGCCAAAGGCCACAGAAATTACTTACAGACTAACAGTTAGACTAGGTGCAGGACTGGAAGAGACACTGGTGACTCCATGAGTCTCCCTGAACTGCGTGCACAGAACGGCATACTGTACCAGGAGAGGCATGGCAGGGCTATGGCCATTTCTGCTTCCTCCTACCTCGTGGCTCTTCTCAGGGAGCTGAGGAGGGTGAAGGAAAACACTTCTGGCCGAGATGAGGCTCACTACCTTCCAAGGAGTTCTCACTCTAATGAGCCCAACACTAGCCTATCAAACTGTGTCCCCAGCAGGGACTTTGTAACTTCACAGACTCAGCTTTTTTATTCAGCCTGTGAGAAAATAGTCTTAGCTAAGACTGGTGGCTCATGCCTGTAATCCCAGGACTACAGAGAATAGAGACAGAAGTATGAGGAGTTCAAAACCAGCCTGAGCTACATAGAGTCTGAGGACAACCTGGGCTACATGCAATGCTGTCTCAAAACCAAACAAATCAAGAAAAAAATTATAAGCAAGCAGCCCACTCACCTTGTCATCTGCAGACAGCACACCTCCTTTTAACTTGTTGAAATATCTGTCCGTGTAAAACACAGCATCTCGGGCACGATGCAACAAGAAATCCCAGGTCCAACACTTCCTCTGCTCTCTGATCTCATACAAGTTAGCGTTCAAGGCAAAATACCACCATTCTCGACAGCTGCAACAATCGTGACAATGTGTTTGTTACTCCTCCGAATAAAGCCACTACAATGCTGCGGGCAGCACGGCAAGTCACCACGGACTTGACCACTACAGATTTAACTGAGTTTCCAAGGACATACTACACACACATGACATCTTTAAAAAGGTTTACATGTCAGACCGGTCAGATGTATCACTGTAACATGAAGAGAGGATTTATAGGGCAGGAAACATGTCAGTAACTATGAGCACGTACTGAGGCTGGGCATGGTGGCACAAACTGGGAGTTTGAAGACAGTCTGATCTAAATAGTAAGTTCCAGAACATCCAGGGCTACATAAGAAGACTCTGTCACAAACAAATAAAGCATATTGTCCTTATGGAAGACCAGAGTTCAGTTTCCAGCAACTACATCAGGCAGCTCACAACTGCCTTTAATTCTAGTCCAACCCGATGCCCTTTCCTGGTCTCTGTGGGCTCCTGCACTCATGTGCGTACACAATCACGTACACACATACAAATGTAACTTAAATTGAAATATATTTTTAAGAAAGAGGATTGATGCTTGCTCTGTCAGAGAGCACGACATACAGAATGTGGACCCAACAGACCGGAGGACAGAGAAAAGGAAGCTTGAAGAGTGCAGCAGAGACTGACCACACACCAAATGTCCCCAAGCAATGGCGATCTGCTTGCTGAGAGACACCAAGGATCTTTTCTAAGAGTGGATCTTACCTCAACAGAGATAATCAATAATGACAACGGACACTTCATGCCCCTTTTGTCCCCGATATTATTTCTATTTCCTCATAGGTAACACATTCCCACATTTTAAAACTGAAAACTAACTGTACCAAAGTTAAGCCGACTGCCCCTTTTTCTGCAGTCATATGTGAAGGACGGGGAGCCATATTTCCGATCTATGTAAGGAAATCATGCTGCTGCAAGATGCATTATGGGTAACATGCAGAGGTGCCCTTACTTCTTGGATACGGCCACTTTTGGTTTCCACTTGCGGAATTTCACCTGCCTCTCCTTCCGCTCCAGCTCCTTGAGGAATCCCATGATCTGCCGGTACTGTAGCTTTGTTAGAGAGTAAGAGACACTAGATGAGGATGGAATTGGTTCTTCGTCTCAGTTAAGAACTAGATCTAACTAGAACACCTCATTCTGCTGAGCTGAAATCCAGTAACCAAAGCATTAGCATGAGGCATGCTCCGTCAGCTACTTAGTTCTCCTATGTTCTTTGCTCAGCACTTACAGACACCAAATCAAGTCGGAGGGTGGTGGTGCACACCTTTGGCCCAGCACTCGGATCTCTATGAGATCGAGGCTAGCCTGGTCTACGAGGAAGTGCCAGAACTGGTGTTAAAGCTGCACAGAGAAACTCTGTCTCAAAAAAAAAAAAAAAAAAAAAAAAAAAACACCAAATCAAATCCAAAACTAAGTGGGGGTCTGAGCCTCTGGGAGGAAAATGTACCTGGGACAGCTTCAAGGGAATAGTCTCCAGCTGAATGTCACATTCAATCCGAGGGCTGTGCCGGGACCTCAGGGGCTCCTTGGAGCAGTTTCTTTTCAAGAGGGCAGATGCGCACACAGGCTCTAGGATGTAGTGGTGACTGCGGCTCTCCATGCTTCTGGCCATGGCCTCCTGTGTCACGAGAACATTGGCTCTACACAGCCAGCCTTCCTTCTGGCTGCTGCCTTCTACAACACTGGGCATTTAAGCCGAACGGTCACACTAAACCATGAGCTGTGCCGTAGCTTCACTGCTACCCAATCCAGGGAATGCCACCTGGCATTGGAGAAGTGAATCATTTTCTTCCACTTCACTACAGTACCTACAATTTCTTTATGAAAAAACTAAGGTAAGCTTTTCCTTAGTCCTTCCCAAACCATATCACTGTCTATCCATCTAAGTGTCTTAAAGGGATGCCTCCACAGTGATGTTCAAGGAGAAACCCCAGCAGGCTGGCCCCTCTTTAAGAAGCTGATCTGCTGCTTCTTAATCTTCATGTTCAATCCCTATTGGCTGATAAAATTCCAACTTCAGTGTGCCACAGGCACACAGCAGTAAGAAGCAAGGGATTAGATACAGACGCATCTTGCAAACAGAATGTTATTAGCCAGGTGTGGTGGTGCATGCCTTTAATCCCAGCACTTGGAAGATAGAAATAGGTGGATCTCTGTAAATTTGTGGTTAGCCTGATCCACATAGTGAGTTCTAAGACAGCCAGGGCTATACAGACAGACCCTGCCTCAAAAATACATAAATAAATATTAAATTAAAAAAAAAAAACAGAACTTCACATGAAAAAGACAAAACATCCACATACTGAAGTTCAAACCTACAGACACAAGAAACATCTCAGGCAAAGACTCTAGACAGAAGATGCTTGTAAAGGAAGAGCACAGGGGACCACAGCCTGCAAATCAGGGTCCCCACACCATGTGGCTTTAGTACCATGTTCCACTAAGGCCCTGGCCAGAACATACCTGTAACTCCGCCTGAGGCAAATCCCCCAATAGAGTGCAATCGACATCCCAATAGACACCAAACTCAGCCACATCTAGTCTTTTTTTCCGCATTAGTTTCTGTACCTGAGGGAGAAAGAGGCAACATGATGGTGACCTTTTGTCTCCGCCATATTTGTTGTTCGCTCAACAAACTAAATGTAAAACCATACACATCAGGCACTCTGCAAAGGATAAAAGACCACAGGAAGACAGGACCCTCTCACACAGCCCAAACCCCATCCATGCAAGACCTGGCAGCTCACGTCTTTGATCCTAGTACTCAGGAGGCAGAGGCAGGTGGATCTCTGTGAGTTAAAGGCTAGCCTAGTCTATATAGTGAATTTCAGAACAACCAGGATTACAAAGTAAGAGCCTGCCTTAAAAATAAATAAATAGACAAACAAAATCAAAATCCACCAGCTGGCAACACCAACATGCGCAAATATTTTTAATTACTTAGAAGAAGCAGTGAAAGGATGCTATGAGCAAACAAACAGAAATATCACTGGGCAGAGCAGGGTCAAAATATCTGTAAATCTCTGCCAGGCAGAGGGGCCCATGACTTTACTACCTACCAGCACGTGGGAGTTAGAGGCAGGTGGATCTATCTCTGTGAGTTCGAGGCTAGTCTGGTCCACAGATTGAGTTCCAGAACAGCCAGTGTTACACAGAGAAACCCTGTCTCAGAAAAAAACAAACAAACAAACAAAAACAAATCTCATACAAGGAACTGAGTCAGCACAAAAGGCCTGCTATCTTCAGGGGAAGGAACAGTGATTGTTTTTCTTAACTAGAACTCTAAATGGCAGAGAAACAGTAATGGATACGTGTGCATGAACACTTTTGAGGGGCCAAGGGCAGACCCCAGGGCTCTGGCCAGTTTTACTCTTGGTCTGTGGTCAGATCTCATACTCACAGGCTCATTTGCAGCGTTCTGCATGGACACGTTCTTAATGCAGATGCCAAACGCGAAAGGATGAGAGGGATTGGTAAGACCATCTTCAAAGCGCAAATGGACATCTTGAATCTTTAACTGCAAAGAGAGAAAAGGAAAACATTCAGCTAACTGCCGCAGGTGGAATCCTATCAGTGGGGTCCAACCACAGAGGGCATCTGCACGTTTCCAGTGTGCTGAAGTTCCAAGGGAACACAATCACAAACCACTCAAGAATGACAGTTCATTGTCATACATGTTATCTGAGGAAGGCTGCAATGCTCCCATCAAATCATTCCAGAAGTCAATGTAAACATTTAAACACAGGAATGCCAGGGGCCAGAGAGATGGCTCAGCAGTCACACAAGCCTAGCCACATGAGTTCAATCCCCAGAACCCTTATAAAGATGGAACAAACACTCACCAGAAACTTGTCCTCTGACCTCTGTACACATACTCCCCACACACATACAAAACGGAGAGAGAGAACAACACCATTGAATCCAGATAATTGGTTTTGCCGCTCTTGTCTCTGTAGGAAGCTTAGCCCAACAAAACCAGCAAGGCACATAAAGGTCTGTGTGAATCTCCACATGTGTTTATTTCTTCTCCAGCATGTGAGAAAGAGAATGTATTCCACTTCAGTGAATCAAAAACCAGTAATAGGGGCTGGGAGTAGCTCAAAAGTAGGGTGTATATTTATCATGTGCAAGGGCTGGGGTCAAGCCCTCAGCACTACAAAAAGGGAAAAAAATATACACATATGGTCAAGAAAAAAGAAAAATATGTACACATGTTCAGCATCATTAACCATTAAGAAAATATAAACTAGGTCAGGGAGAAGGCTCAATGAGTAGGAACAATCATTTTGCAATCATAAAGATCTGAGTTCAAATCCCCAGCACTGCACAGAAGGTCAGAAATGGCTGCACTTGCCTGTGATGCCAGCACTAAGGGGACAGAAACAAACAGATCCCAGAACCTGGATCAGCCTAGTCAAAATAGTCAATTTCCAGCTTAGGGAGAGATCCTGTCACAAAGCAAAAAGGCAGACAGTAATAGAGGAAGACACCTGACATCCTGCTCTGACATCCACAAACACAAGGGTGTCACCTGCAAATGTGAGTGCATGCCCAACACATATAAACACACACTCCACAGAGAAGGAAAGAAAAAAGAGAGGCAAACAGTGAGTCATCACTGTATTAACATGACTATAACCAAAGACAATCATGGTATTGAGACCAATGTGGAGAAACCAATGCTTAAAGCTGATGCCAAAATCGTAACCTGGGCCAGCGAGGTGGCTCAGTGGCAAAAGGCACTTGCCACCGAGGCTACTGCTCTGAGCTCCATCCCCACACCTCAGTGGTAGAAGGAGAAAACCAAACTCTTCAAGCTGGCCTCTAACTCCCAAATGTACACACGCACACACACACACAAATAAGTAAATAAGACGTGGGAAAAAGTGGTGGTGGGAGAGCCAGGCAGTGGTGGCGCATGCCTTTAATCCCAGCACTCAGGAGGCAGAGGCAGGGGGATCTCTGTGAGGCCAGCCTGGTCTACAGAGCGAGTTCCAGGACAGCCAGGGCCGCAAAGAGAAATCCTCTCTGGAGAGACAAAAAGAAAGGCCGTGGCAGGCACTCAGCCCTAAAGAAGAGCATCACACCCCCACCCCCACCCCCGAGGCTCAGGAAACATCGAGAAAGAAGAGACAAAAAAAATTAAGACCCAGAGGATGAGGCGTGCAGGAAGACACGCTCACCTGGCTCATGGCCCGCTGCAGTGAGCTTCTCTACCTAAGACCTGCACACGACCAGCAACACCATTCCTGTGATTGCACTGCAGAGAAATGGCCTCCTGGTGCTTGAGGAAGACACTTCTGGGGCCAGTAGATAGTTAGGCAGGTAAGGCAGCCAGGGTGCCTGTGACCAAGCCTGATGAGTTTGAGCCCCAGGATCCACACAGTAGAAGAGGACCACAGGTATCTTCATACCTCCACATGTGCCTCCCACCCCCAGAAAACAAATAAATGTAAAAACAAAGTTTTATGAGAAAAAATATTTGTTGTAGAAAACATATATATACACCTGCACATAAAGCTATACAAACATACCACATGCACAAAATCATAATATTTTCTTTCTCTCTCTCGCTCTCTCTTTTTTTGTTTGTTTGTTTGTTTGTTTGTTTTGTTTTGTTTTTGTTTTTCAAGACAGGGTTTCTCTGTCTAACAGCCAGCTGTCCTGGAACTCATTCTATAGACCAGGCTGGCCTGTAGCCGAGGCTGGCCTCAAACTCACAGAAATTCACCTGCCTCTGCCTCCTAAGTGTTGGGATTAAAGGTGTGCGCCACCACTGCTTGGCAATAATAACATTGCCCTCAAATGTATCACTCTTTCATCCACATTATGAAACTAACAACTTCAGATCATACTTTTGGGGAACATAGCACACACTGAACACATTTGGCCTGAGTTGTCTTGACACTGCAAGAGAACCCTAGAGACGTTCGGTATGGGCTGCCTTGTGACAGTCAATGAATATTTCATCCCCTATCCTAGTCCTAATGATCAAACACACAGTCCCAGCACTGCAGTGCATCCAAACTCCATAAGGTACCTCAATGAGAGGTCGGATGCCTTAGTGGCCATTCATAGTTCACAACACACTAGGCAATGGGGACCCCGCCTCTCCCATTTTGCAGATGAAAAAACTGAGACCAGAGAGATTAAATGACTTGCCCTGAAACCAGTCATGGAGGCCTAGGTAACCTGGCTTCTGAGGTGATAAATCCTTTAGCAAGTAAGATTCCAACATCTAACACTAAAAAAGAAAGTGGGGGGGGGGGTGTGAAATGCAAGTGCCTACTCACACTTTCTTGCTAAAGTAAGAAAGACCTGTGCCTGCCTCGCAAGGCAAGACTTGCTTTTCAGGTTTTTCCTTTGTCACAGCCTCCAAAAGGGCACACCTGAGCAGCCGTAAACCCACAAGAAAGGAGCACTCAGAAGCGAAAACACATCTAAGGCTCAGAAACCCTTCCTGTGTCCTCAGGAAGGTTGGCAGGGCTCACCTCAATGTTCTCCACGATCCTTGTGACGACTGAGGCAGTGACAGAGTACCAGTAAGGCTCCCCCTTCTGCTGCCGCTCACTCTGCAAGGGAAAGAGCCTCGTCAGCACAGGCCCGCTCTGTACTGTTGGGGAGGGCACAGGCGCCCCTAAGGCCCGGAGGCTCTAAGCCTTGCTTGCCTTCCATCTGTCCTCCAGGGCCTGAAGCAGGGCTTTCTTACGCTCCCTCTCCAATAGCTTCTCCTTCTCATCGTTGAAGTCCTGGATTTTCTCAGGGGCACCAACTAAGTGGAGGCCGGAGATGGAGATCACCCAGGGGTCCACATGTGGGCGGTAAAAGGGGATCTGGAGGGTCACTTTCCCAATCAAGCCTGGAGAAGGAACGTCCCATTAGACACCTGTACATTTTCTAGCTCCCTTAACACTGATTAGTTTTACAATTATTTATTTTATTAAAAAACAAACAAACAAAAACCTGACAACTATGACGGTGCATTTAAAAAATGCTGAGGAGACAGAGGCCGGAGGGCCACAAGTCCAAGGCCAGCCAGGGTGATACCTTGGGGTGGAGGGTTTAGCTCTGGTAGAACACATGCCTAGGAAGTGCAAGGCCCTGGATTCTGTCCTCAGCACCGGAAGAAAAAAGACAAAAATCGCAAAAACAGACAGCAAGCCACAAGTGGTGGAGCATGTCTATAATCCCAGTACTCAAGTGGCTAAGGCAGGGGGATGGCAAGTTCAAAGCCAATCTGGAGCACAGAGTGAGTTCAAGGCTAGTCAATCAGGCTCCTATGTATGTGAAACTAGTGTTAGGGTAGGAACTGTACGAGCTAGATCACAATAAACAATTAATTAAAAAGAACCAGTTATAATGAAACTGGAAACTGTCTTTTCCATATCAAATATAAATTATCTACTATGCAAACACTCTTCCAACTGAACCACACCTTGAATTCCTATGAGGTGTCTTCCTGCCCACAGCACCCACCTGCACAGACCCTTCCTTCCCATGGCACCCACCTGCATACACCCTCTACCTGCACACACCCTGACCACAGAATTCATCTCTTGTTAATTAATAATTGGCTGATTAACAAGTATGTGTCAGGAGTTTCCATGTTTACATATTTAACCCTGAATATACCCATCATAAACTAAAACAGACAATATAGCATAGAGATAAAGAATCAACCCAGGTTCAGAGCTACCTGACCTATAAAAGGATACTTATTGCCCAACTTTGTCCATTTTAGCCAAGCCTTTAAATTTAACTTAATAAAAGCAGGTCACTGGACATGGTGGCACACACCTTTAATCCCAGCACTTGGGAGGCAGAGGTAGGAGGATCTCTGTGAATTTGAAACAAGCCTGATGACACATAGCTGCAGGTCAGAGCTACACAGTGAGACTCAGCCTCAAAAAGCGAAGTATTTTCCTTTGTATGTGGTTGAGGAAGAAACCAAGGCCCTTATATATTCGTGCGTGTACAGCAAGGGCCCTACACTGATACAGCCCCAGTCCTCACAATGATGTATCTAATGAGTATACAAATGACTAATTGTCTAACCCAGTAGTTAAATTAAGAGTACTGGGGGACCGAATACTTGTTGTGTATGTACGAGGCTCTTGTAACTGAACTTATATGCCAGTCTGAATTAGTGCACAGTGGCAGCTATTTATTTGGCTTGAGACGGGTTGTGTACAGCCTATGCTGGACCTGAAGCCTGACCTTCCTTTTGCTTCCCAAATGCTGGGTTATAGGCATGCTCTGCCATGCTGGGCACAGTGGTGATGCTGAATGAGTTTGCAAGAGGACACAAAGCATTCTGACACACAGAACTTTACATGTCTTACTTACTTTTTGTAAGAAACAAGGTCAAGTTTGCTAATACAATATTAGAAAACCATCAATTTTCCCCACAGAGCTTCTCTTAATCCTTCAATATTTGAAGAATTTTCTTCTGGAAGTAACCTTGTCTGCATTCTTGTAGCTTTCAGATTCCTATCTGTCAGTATATTTGCTGGTACTATGTATGCATGCACATGAACATACACGAATAAATAACTGTAGAAAAAGTTTTTATACAAGATTATAAATACTATTACGATCTTGTGGTTTTCTGTGTGTGCAAGGGTGTTTGTGTGTGTGTGTGTGTGTGTGTGTGTAATGCTGGGGATAGAATCCCACACCCTGTTCATGCTAGGAAAGTGATCTACCACTGAACTAATCTCTAGCCCTATTCCTTGACTATTCTAAGACCAGGTTTTGTTGTTTGTTTGTTTGTTTGTTTGTTTGTTTGTTTGGGACAGGGTCTCATTGCATAGTCCTGGCTAGTCTGGAACCCCCTATCTGGACCAAGTTGTCCTAGAACACACAGAGATCCACCTGCCCAGGTGGTGAGACTGATATAAACTGATGTGAACTTTCAAACTTCCTGTCAACTTTCTGGTCAAGCAGAGACCAACTCCAGGGCTTTTGATTCTCCTGCCCCGAACAGCTTCATCTCCAAACCTGCCTCCCTCCTTGGCTCCACATACCAGCTTTGACTTCAAAGGGCAATTCCAGTTCTTTCAGAGCATCCTTCTTTAATGGGAGGTTTTCTAATTCAACGGCACCTAAAACAAAACACCACAAAACATTCATCCACCAATCATAGTGCTATTGGCTGTGCACAGAACACTGAAGGGTAAGGGCCATGGCGATGCCACCACTAGCCTAAGAGTTCCGACTGTAGTACTAATCTGACCACCCACTCTGAAACATACATGACAGCTGAGGCGCAGCAGCCAGGGGCGCTTAGGCAAGACCCTAACTAAGTCTGTAACGGGCCAGAGAGTAAGTATTTTAAGCCTTTAGATGATGACAATCGCATTCCTTTTTAAAGATTGTATTACATGTATTTGTGTGCATGTACATGTCATGTATGTATCACGTGTAGCAGGCAGTCAGTGGACAACTTGCAGGACTCGGTTCTCTCCCTCCACCGTGTCTGTCCCAGGGAATGAACTCGGGTGGCCAGGCCTGGCAGCACGCGCCTTTACCCACTCAGCCCTCTTGCTGTCAATTGCCCTTTCTTTTCTTGAATCATGGGTCTCACTGTGTTGCCCAGGCTGACCTCAAACTTCTGGGCTCTCATACTATCCTCCCATCTTAGCCTTCTGAGTAGCTAGGACTAAAGGCATATGCCACTAAGCCCAGCTCATTTATTTTTTCAAAGAAGGTTTAGAAATGTAACAGGCAGCTAGGGGTTTCAATGGTCATGCGCCATATACAAAACCCTGTGTTTGATCCCCACAAAGAAAATGTCACACCACACTAGTGGTATACTCCAGTAATCCCACAATACAGAGATAGAGACAGGGAATCAGAAAGTCATTCTCAACTACGCAGTGAGTTCAAGACCAGTCTGGGCTAGAGACTGTTTAAAAAAAAAAAAAAAAAAAAAAAAAAAAGTAAAAGACAGAATTCCAGCACTTAGAAGGTAGAGACAGAAGGATCAGGAATTTAAGATAATTCTAGACTGGATAGCAAAAATTTGGACTAGCCTGGTAACATGAAACTCTGCTCAAAAAAAAAAAAAAAAAAGAGGATGGGTGGTGATGGCACACACCTCTAATCCCAGCACTCAGAAGGCAGGAGTAGGAGGATCTCTGTAAATTCAAAGCCAGTCTGGTCTACAAAAGTGAGTTCCAGGACAGACTGTTACACAGAGATGGATAGATAGATCAGCAAGACAGCCTGTAGATAAAGGTGCTTGATGCCAAGCCTAAAGACCTGAGTTCAATCTCCAGGACCCACATAGTACAAAGAGGGAACAGACTCCTAAAAGTTGTCCCCTGACAACTTGTACTCTTATGTATGCACAGAAGCACTCACACATAATTAAGTAAGTAAGTAAAATTAGTAAAAAGCCATCCTGAGATAGAGGTCAGGTCTGGCCTGCTGGCTATTTTAAAGCTCCCCAGCTTAGGCTAACAGTTCCCATAAGACTGCCATCACCTGACTCTCTAAGATGTAATGCAGGCTCCCTAACATCTCCCAAATCACAGTCTCTGAGGCTAAAACACAAGAATCTGCTGTGGTTTTTAACAAGCAGTCCCAGCCCTCAGCAATGCCATTCTCCCAGAACTGAGCATAAGTCACAAAACGCTTGAGAGCCCATAGCTTAGTTAATAAAACTGAAGGCAGGCATGGTGGCACACGCCTTTATCCCAGCACTCGGGATGCAGAGGCAGGATGATCCCTATGAGGCCAGCCTCATCTAAATATATAGTTAATTCTAGGACAGCCAGGGATATGTAGGCCCTATGTCAAGGACCCCCAGATTGATAGCTGGGAAACCAGCATTGGACTCACTCAGACTCCTTGAACATGGGTCTCAGTCAGAAGGCCTGGGCAGTCTAAGGAACTTCTGATAATGGAACCAGTATGTATTCCTGGTGCATGAAAGGACTTTGAGAGCACATTCCCCATGGAGGGATACTCCCTTAGCAGGAGGGAGGGCCTAGGCCCTACTCCAAATGACTTGACAGATTTTGTTGATCCCTCCTAGAAGGCATCACCCTCACTGTGGAGTGGGGGTGGAATGGGATGGAGGGATGGGGGACATGGAAGGGAGGGAGGAAACTAGGATCGATATGTAAAATAAGAAAAAATTATATATATATATATGTATGTATGTATGTATGTGTATATATATATATATACACACACACACACACACACAGAGAGAGAGAGAGAGAGAGAGAGAGAGAGAGACCCTATGTCAAAAAAAGTAACTAAATAAAACTAGTCACCCCAAAGCACTTCTTTCTAGAGAGAGCAAACGGTCACTGTGCACCTCCCTTGGGGCACACTAACTGGTCAGAAGGCACAGAAAGAGCAGGGCCAGCCTGGATGATGATGACACCGAAGGCCCATGGACTAAGGAATTATCCCAGCCCATGACACTGTAGGGAGGCAGTGGGGGCTTTTGTGGGGTATTCAGGCCATGCCATCAAAAGGGGTACTCAGGCTGGGGCCCTCTCTGACTCTGCTCCATCTCTCCTAAGGTAAGCAGGCCTGCTCTGCCAGGCCCTTCAATCCCACCATCCCTGTAGGCCCAGAGGCAACAAGGCCAAGCAACCCATGTGAACCAAAACTGTGAGCCTTTCCTCCTTTTAAACTGATTGTCTCGGGGTAAGGGAGGGCTGACAAACAGAATCACACACACACACACACACACACACACACACACACACGCACACACACACGCACACGCACACGCACACACACACAATATATATATATATATATATATATACATATATTCATATACATATACACGTACATATATCTCCAAGCTCTCCTCTATGCAGGCCACGGGGAACATGAGAGAAGACATCACCCCTAACCACAAACCGCTGAGGAGAGGGCCTTATATTATAAAGCTGCTTGCACAACACAAAACCATTTCTAAGCCATTGATCTGTCTGGGATAGATATTTTTGAGAACAGGGCATACAGACAACCATTAACTGGTAGAAAGGCCAGGAATAGGGCAGACAAAGCACATTGCAAAGTTGTAATGATGTAGACAACTTACTTCCTCCAATAAATGACTATGCAGACTCTAAAAAAATGAGGTCAAACCTACTAATTTGGCAGATTCTAAGCAAATGTAATCTCTTTTTTTTGGGGGGGGGTCCCATATCACATGTTTTAAGACTAACCTAAAGCAAAATAAACATACTTCCAAAGGTTAAGAGAAACTTATCATAAAAGAGAAAGAAAATGTCCTCAGGTGTCAGAGACAACTGCAATTTCTTTTTCTGTTTCTGCAGCACAGGGAACAAATCTCCCACATGCGTGGTGAATGCTCCATGTGCAGCCATGCCCTGGCCCTCTTCTCATTTACACATTGATTGGCCTTGTTTTTCCATGCGCTAATCCAGGGTTTCCCTGGCTGCTGCACTGTCAGAAAAGGGAAAGGAACTCACACATAAAACATTAAAGAAGCCAAAGGAGAGAAAGCCAGGAGGGTTAGAAAGGACAGAGAAGAAACACAAGCCCACAGCAAGCCAACAGCTAAGGAACATCAATAAAACATGAAAATGGTCCAAGACGGAAGGCATGCTAGACACACACACACACAAACACTCACATGTGTCCACAGCCTGTCCTGCTGGGAAGGGTCCTGCCCTGCTTAGCAAGGATTGCTGTGTGAGAGTCAAGCAACAAAGCACCCGAATGAGGTAGGCCTTTTCGAAGCCAGAATGCCACTCATTGATTTCCAGGGAAACAATTTCCAAGCTTATTCATGGATGGCTCGCCCCAAAATTCCTCACCTCTCACTGGCCAGAGATCTAGTCACTTACAATGCAGTGAACTCAGGCCTCAGGCATTTCCCAGTCATCTCTGTTGACTACCAGATTCTCTTCATTCTGCTTCAAGTTATTTAAAGGACCAGGCTGAAGAGAGCTCAAAATAAAACAAGGGGGAATTGTAGTACAGAGTCCTTGTACAGAAAAGCCTCTCCTTTCTGACTCCCCTGTGCCTACAAACTCGCAGCCTCTGCTCCTGGGATTCACTCCACCTGGAGTGTGGCTGGCTACCGCTCCTGTGCAACCCCCTGACACCCTTTCCGGTCTACTCAAAAGTCACCCACTGTAGCTTTCCCCTGGCTCTACAGACAAACAAAAGGCTCCTCTCCTGTGCACTCAAATGCATAATGTAACTGCTTTTGTATTTAAAGGCAGAGTCTCCTGGAACTCACTATGTACCCCAGCCTGGCCTCCAATTCACAGCAACCCTCCTGCCTCATCCTCTCAAGCGATGGGATCACAAGAGCCAGTCCTCACATCCGGCTACTGCCTCTAGCTGAAGTGCAACCATGCAGCGATGGCTGCCTTGTATTGTTGTTTAATTTGCCTCCCCAACAGGTTAGTGACTCTGAGAGCAGGCTGAGGTGGGACAATGATAGTGACAGCATCTACAACGTAAGTGAGGCCTCACTGTATGTAATCCCTCTTTCCCCCCTGAGCAATGTCACTATACGTATGTATGTATGTATGTATGTATGTATGTATGTATATATGTATGTGAAAGGCAGCAATAACGGAGAGTTTAGAAAGAGGAATGGAAAGGGGTAAATGATATAACTATAATCTCAAGCAGGTAAAAGAAATTTTTTAAAGATGTAATCCATGTGGTGGTTGAAATGAAAATGGCCCCCATAGGCTCTTAATTTTGAAATCTGTTCCCTAGGAGGTGTGGCCTTGTGGGGGAAGTGTATCACTGAGGGTGGGCTTTGAGGTTTCAAAAGCCCATGCCTGGCCCAGTCTGATCTGCAACTTCCCGATCAGATGCGAACTCTCAGATTCAGTTACAGCCATGTGCCTACTGGCCGGCTCCCAAGCTTCCCACAGTAATCATGGACTAACCCTCTAACTGTAAGCAAGCCAGCACTTAAATGCTTTCTTTACTAGCTGCCTTGGTTGTCAGAGCAATAGAACAGTAACTAAGACAATACACTTTAATTTCTAACTTTACCTTATGCATATAGATGTCTCTGTGCCACTTGTGTGCCTGGTACATATAGAGGCCTGAGGAGGGCATCAGATCCCCTGGGACTGGA